GAATGACAAAACATTGGCAGGCCATTGAAATGTGTGTGGGCATGCCGAACAGGGAAAAAAACAGCAGAGTAACCTTGAAATCTGCCATGTGCTTTACTGTACTATTCAATTGTTTGTGGCACATTACACATCAGATGTTTTGATGTACGTGTGTCTAGGCCACAGACCACTACACCTGTTATGCTCGGTTTGAACTGCTGACAACCACATCACCAACCACTGCATCCCTCCTCAAAGTGTTCAGGACAGGCACTAAGGTGTCAATATAGCAGACAATTTATGGCAGCCAACAATCCGCGCACTGAGATGGAATATATAAAGGTGAAACCATACAAGTTTGTCCCGTCAGACAAAAGCGGAAGCACTGCAAATGACAGGCGATGAAACTTAAATGACCATTATTTGCCTCATTAATTTTGGTTGTAAAACTTGATAGACACGAGTCTCTCTAACAGGTCAATCTGAAGGTGTCACAGCATCAGATTCAGAAATATGAGATGGAGGCCTGCAGAGGCACCAAGGGGCAAAGGTCAAATGGACAGGGCTAGGTTGTTATTCATGCTGCATAAAAGGTGCCAGGGAGCGGTATCAGGGACCACACAAACTGTGGGCTGTGTGGTAGGAGACATTGTTTCCTCTGTCATCAGCAGTAATGCATCCCCACACCAAGCACATGACCTTTACGGTTTGGTTTGTATGGAAAGTTAAAATAACAGCTTAATTGAACCGTATTTCCCTCTGACACAGAAGCACAGTCCAAATGTTTTGAATTCATTTTTCATCATGTATCACGATTAAGCATCAAAAAAACTGTTCACTGCTGCAACCTGCAGTAGAGAACTGCAATGGGACCAATATGAAAGCCAAAACTAAAATTACCTCCAGACAGCACTGTAAAGTACAATAACTCACAGAATACAGAAGTTACACCATAAAAATAAACAATGGTAACGTAAAACACAGCTTACATTTTCACACTACAAGTCTCCCTACAGACACACATTCACACACACTCAGAGCTTCTCAGTTCATACAAAACACAGCGCGAGTGGTGCACTTCCTATGAATCTATAAAACAGAAAACAGAGGCACGGTCACTAATTCTTGTACTTTTGTATGCTGTGTATATAAGGGCTGTAATTTTGGCCAACCAAGTACATATCAATCACTGTGCAACAAAAAGCACACAAATGTGTCACTTGTTTAAATGATGAATGAATTTGAATATTTCATTTAAATGGAAAATATGCAAACACCTATTTCTAAAAATGGTAGACTTTCAACATAATGATTTTTTTTCCTTCCAGCAAAATGTACACAATCACAAGTCATCCATGTGTTTTAGGCTTCTAAGCTCTCTGAGTGCTGGAAGGACAGGCTCTGACCTGCTGGACTGTCTCTGTTGTAATAAATAGTTAGACATTATTATATGGTTTGATCTGATAAGAATCAGAGTTATTAAAGTCCTGGGCAGAGCTCCAGGTTGGAGTATAACACTTCTCAGTGCCTTAGGGACAGTGCACCAGTTTGTACAGTAGCTACTGTCTGTGTGAGATGAATACTCAACCATATAGTGCAGAAGTGCTTTGGTTCAAATGGATTTTCATAGGAAAGTGTATAGTTTATTGTTTTGGTTTATTGACTGGTTTTAATGGTCTTGAAAATATCCAACAAAATAGTCAGGAAAATGAACACACTGAGTTTTTCTTAATAAATGTGACAGACAGACCAATGAAAAGTGAACCAGAGCAGCACAGGGCGGTATTGCTACAATATAACAACCACACAAGCAGGAATCAAACTTACATATAAACTAAGACATAAAATCAATCTTGGTTTGTTATTGTTGTTTGTCAGAGAAGGAGTAAACAGTCTGGTTTCTGGGCTTACCATGGAGCAACAACAGAAAACCAAAATTTTATGTAATGAATATGCGAAACACGTTGTAAAATACAATCGTGGTATATACTCGTAAGTGGCCCGGTTGTAAAATTCCCACGGAGTGAGAATTCAGTTTGCTCTCTCTCCATGCATGAAAATTCCTCACAGAATATTAATTATATGATGTTCCTGCAATTCCAGTTCTAGAGACCATCAAACAGTGTAGCACAAATAGTGGACCTTCCTTCACTGCAGTAGTAATGCCTCATCTGCTTTACCACAGTGGCTGGTTGGCTCCTGAGCAGAGCTGGAAGCCACCAGGGCCACATTAAAACAGGGCACTTATTCCACATGGACCTCGACTGCGGCAGCAGCCCCAAAAACCAAAGCTTAAAGGTTTGCCACTGACAAGCAAACAGCCGAATGGTGTAAGAACATATCAGAATGTGATATGTCGTCACTAAAAACGGGTCTAAAATGAAATCAAACCTGTTAATATTAAACATTTCCAGACAATTTACATCTGACTGTCAATTATACACTCTTAAATAGTTGAATTTTTTTGGTTTTCCAACAGGTTTTTAAATAATATCCTAGTATTATTAATATGTCATTACTATGTCATCATTTAACAAGCCTGTATTATAGACTGGGGAGTCTACAGCCACGCTAGGGACCCAGTGACATTTCTACTTAGGTACAGCAAGATGCTAACATCAGCATGCTAACTGTTGCTGATTAGCAAAGTGAGCTCAGGGTGATGAAAATGTCATCAGTCTTGCAGTCATTTTTCATAAACCAAAGCACTGGACAAAATGGTATTTTGACCTGCTCTTGGCACTGAAGAACAAGTGAATGGATCACTGAAGTTTATTTTTTAATTAATCCTCTAGGGACCTTGAATATCTTGAGCAAATGTTACAGCATTGCATCTAGTAGTTGTGAAGATATTTCTCACTGAAACACAAAGGACAACCTCATGGTGGCACCAGAGGAAAAGTCAGGGGGTCACCAAAAGTCAGACAGATTGATCCTCTAGGGACCACGAATGTCCCTACAAAGTTTTATAGCCAACCATCCTATAGCTGTTAAAATATCTTGGTCAGAACCAAAGTGGTGGAGACATAGCATTTGCATGGCTAAAAATATGTTACACATCTCTTACAGAGTTGTCGAATGTTACTGATTTTATTTTGAATTTAGAATTTATTAAATTCAAATGTTTCGCTCAACTTTGATCATTCACTTATTGTGTATTTTGACAAGTTATGAAGTATCATGTTAGGTCAAGCAGAGTGTGCCAAACCAGCTGACCGTCAGCTGATCCAAACAGGCAGCAATGATGACTGACACTTCAAACAATCTGTTTGAACTGCCAACTCCTCATTCTTTCCTGTGGCTCCTTCCTGCTCCATGCTGCTGCTGATGATGAATAGCTGCGCTGCTCACTCCCTCTACCAACCCAGACTCCCTCTGTTATGGTCTTTTTTTTAATCAATATAGTTACAATAATATCTCTTGCTACGTGCATTATGTATATTCCATATGCCACAGTATGTATCTACTGTCCTTTTAATCTTGGACTGGAAGAGCAGGGCCCAGAGTGCCAACTACAAAAGTTTATCAATTTCCATAATCATGTTTAATTCCAATCATGAGAGCGGCTCTGCTTCAAATTCAATTATCCAGATGTTTTTACATTATCTCTTGGCTTTAACATTGGGTGATCTCCAGTTCAAATGGCTAGACCAGCTGAGAAAATCTCAGTGGGGAAAGAGACGAGAGAAAAAAAATCTCTCTTTCCTGAAATATTGCTGATGAGTTTGAATCCTAAAATAAGGCAGGAAAATAAATGATTAACTTTTTGTGTAATTGCCTGAACTGGACTCATGAATCCCAATTAAGTTTCAACCCTACTCATGTGAAGGATCATAGTGTCGAGTCTGTTAAGAGTGGAAATGTGATCAAGGCCAAAATGAAAGATCAGAGGGTTTTCTATCTTGATTAAATCTTAATGTTGCTAAGATTGTCGCTGGATTACAGTGCATGGGAAATACACGGGGTTAACACAGCAAGGTCAGCATGACCAACTGGAAGTGACCTTCAACATATTTCTCTGAGTTAAACCCTGATCAAAAGAATGTTAAAGTGAATCCAGCATACTGAATACATAGCCAGCCACAAGCAGGCCCACACAGCAACTCATGTCTTTCCAACTCTGTGCTCACAGGTGTGTTTTCATGGTGTGTATTAAATATGGGGTCAAAAGTACAAATATGTCCTACATTGAGATCCCAGATCTCCTGCTCTGGCCCGAGGGTGTAGAAACTTCCTCCTGACCTTCACTTCACTCCTCCGCATCACAGAGGAAGAGCTTACACTTATGCTGTGCTGCCCTCTGCTGCTCATAACCATCACTACGTCTGATCTGACGTACACAAAACATAGCCCTACTAGAGATGGACTGTCTTATACAACTTTAATAATGAAGTGGAGTGGGGTTAGGATTAAACCTTTAGACCAGGTTATTGTTAGGGTATTGTCTGTGGTTACTTAGTTTATAAGAGATGTAGAGATAAACCAAATTGAAAAGTGACTACTATATTGAAAACCTGAACCGTCCCTCTAACCGTCCCTGCAGCATGGAATATCAAAGTGTTTACCCAAAATATTTGTATTTTTATTAATTGTATTTTGGTCAGTAGATATTAAAATGTGAACACTGTATTCCAACACCAGTGCTGACTGATAAAAGCACAGCTTGAAGAAGCTCATGCTAGCACTTTCTGCAAAAGATGTGATTATTATGTGACATTATTTTCAGGTATACATCTTCACTAACGCCATGATTCTTACAAATGAGGACAGCCATAGGATAAAGGAAGCAAAGAAGCTGCTTTGTGACTGGAAGGATGCTGAATCAAATCCCCAAATTAATCAAGTTTGTAGATTAAAGAGTCCTTGTCACCTAACAGCCTCCATGAAGCTGTGTGGTGCCCAAAGCAAAAAAGTAGTAAGAAAGCTGACTGCTCACTGTAAATACATAAAACTTTGTGAACATGAAGCACGATGATAAAGGAAACAAAACCTACTTTTTGAAATGAAAAAAAAGGGCGTACCGTACACTTTCCCGCCACACAGAGAGAGGAGTCGTTCTGTCCACATGGCGTCCCATCAATCACCCTGTCTGACTGCCGCACGTAGAACCTGAACCCTATGGCCCGGCAGTTGAGTTCACAATGCTGATCCCCAGGAACTAAGAGGAGATTTATGAGACTGTTGTATGTATCCAGAGACATTTTGACAACATGTGTGTTTCATAGCATGTAGTGACAAAGCACAGAAGGAAGAAGAATCAAAGGCATTTGACGGACCGTACATAATACAAATGAATCATCTTTACATGTTGTGTCTAAATGTCTCCATACCTTCATCTTGTGTCTCAACACAGGAAACTTCACAAATTACAAATTAAAACTCAATATTAAGTAGCTATGTAAAATATGAAATAGGTGAATTTGTAGAGCACCACATTCAAAGTATTGTAGAAAGACCCGTTTGGAGCAGAAAAGTATTTAAAGCACAGGCCCTTAAATACTTAAACAGAAGTCACATCATGCAGGCCGCAGAGTGACATTAAATTACTACAGCACTAATAAAACCAGTATGCAGGTCTGCTTGCGTTTTACCCTTGGGGCGTATTCTGTCAGATTCAAATTATGAGTTTAATTTCACCCAGTGAAAACACTGAAACAACACTGAATTGGACTTAAAAATGACTATATGTTTAGTTGTTTTGTGGCCTGACTAAAACTGCAGCAAATGGCAACAAAGCAATAGTTTATGTATAATGTTAAAATGCCCTAAAGTAGCAGATAAATTAAGTTTTTTGAAATTTGATTTGAAATTCTGAATACAATTTTGCTCCAATAGCAAAGCAATAAATGCTGCCAGAGAGGTTGGAGGAAACAAACAATAACATGTATCCTCAAAATGCTATTTGTTTGAAACCAGCTCTATGATTTCAAAAAAAAAATGGCAGTGAAAGCATCCTGATCCCTGTTCTTTCCATTTTGTTCAGGTGCTTAATCAATTAGATACTATAAGGCCAAAAGCCAGGTATTTCTTAGACAGATACACAAGAATATGTTTAAACACTGTTCAAGATGGGTGTCAAATAATCCCTACACATTGATCTAGAGTTATCTAATCTTTACATCTGCATTACCCGTCAGTCAAACCAGCAGCACTAAAACACAATCTCAAAATACACATCTGTCTGACAGGATATTAATTTGGAGACTGTTATTTCCATTAGTGTTCTCAGAGAAATGACATTTCAGGAGGTGTTTTGACAGTTGCCTGGATACTTCAGGTGAGTAAGGTCAGAGACTTTGTATGAATGAACATTTATTTATGAGACTACAGACAGGTGATATACTGCAGGCTTCACATCACAGCACACCTCAGTTCATACAGGTCATAGGTCATGGAGCTGAAAATGTAAGACTATGAAAATGTGATTAACAAATGTCTATGATCTTTAGATTGACAGAGTAATTTTAGGTTAGCATCCTTACTATCTCAGACATTTGACCCATTAGACTACACATGTTCTGTCATTTCTTAAAACACATTTTATAGGCAGACTGTATGTTTTCATTTGCTTATTCTGACTGTTGATTTGTTTTTTGTTTTTTTGTTTTTTTTTTGTTTTCCGGCAATGGTAATGCTAGTCTGTTGGTTGGTCAGTCAGCCCACCACTGTTTAGTGCTAATTAGCAAACGTAAGCATGATAATATGATAAACTAAGATGGTCAATATGACCTGCTAAGCATTATTTTCATTGTGAGCAAACTAGCTAACTTAATTCTAAAAGTACAGCCTCACAGCACTACATGGCTATAGACACTTGCCTTGTTATTTCTTGTACTATTACTGTACCATTTACCATAATGTAGTTCTATAAAATAAATAAAAGTTTGTTTTGTTATTACAACTTCAGCGTCATTTATTTGGACCTCCTTTACCATTGGCTGTCACTAGCACAACAGCTACACATAGTTCCTAGGTGAAAATATGGTTTACATACAAGTGCATGAGCACATACAGTACATACATACGGTGCATAAGAATATTCATTCAACCTACCCTCATTGAAAGGTTCCCACTCATACAGTCTGCCCATGAAAGGTTGGTTGTTGTAAGAAGAACACTGAACAGCCCTGATGTGTCTGCTGGATGGAGGACAGGCCTGAGGATCAGACACACACACACACACACACACACACACACACACGCACACGATAAGGCGACAGGTAAATCCTTTTGTAACTGCAGTAAGCTCACATTTCTCACTGTCATGCTCCGTAGCCACTGATTGACTGCTGGAGTCAACCTCCTCTGTTTTAACTGCTTTAACCCTCCACTTGTGGCTCAGTCTTTCTTGCCAAAAGTCATCAGATTCCAGTATTTATGAAGGCTCGCCAGTGAAACCCAATCTCCCTTGTGCCTCTTCATATCTCCTTTGTCTAAACAAGCCCCTGGTCTGCTTTACTTTGCTTGAATATCTGCGTCATCGCACACCAGAGACAATATACAGAACCAGACACTGTTTAAATTTGTTTTAGTGCACAGGATGGATTCCGTACCTGTGAATCAGATAAGCAAAGCTCATCTGCACACTTGGTAAGGTTTCCCAAGCCAACACCTTTACCAATATTTTTTTTTTACTGAAGCTGCTAATAGAAAATATTTAACGTAAGTATTAAATAGCTTTAAATTTTAACAAATATTTCAATCCAAAATAATGTAGGAAATTTTGAAAGTTTTATACTGAACGGACCTGTCCCTTTGTATAACAGTGTGGCTCAGTGATGTGTTTTATATAGTTTTGGATTAAAATGGAGCCCTGTTCGTTTCTTGAATTGAGTTAAACTATGACAAATCTCACAGCAAATGTGGTCTGGCTGAGCAAGGTCAAGTTAAACTATGACAGGAAGGAAATGTCTACAGAAAACGTCCCTTCTTACATTTTTGTGTAAGTGCAAAAGTCCACATTTTTTTTTACTCATCAGAGCTTATGCAATAAAACGAAAGCCCTACTGTATAAAACCTGTAAACCAGCTCCTTTTTCCGTAAACTGATCACCAAAAGTGATATAGGAATCAAGACAGTGGAGTGATAAGCCTAATTATGTAATTGAACCTCATAAAATGACTTGCCAACACACTGATGATAAGAAAATGTTGCATACATTACTGTTGCAGATCCTGTAGCGAGCGGACTCTCCTGTACAGAAAGAAGTAGGTAAAGGGTTATAGGGTCTCTCGTGGTGTTGCTGGGGCCCAGAGGTCTGGCTGCCTGGTTGTAGCTCCTGCTCCTCAGCTTGGTTGGCTGAACCAGGCTGGTAGAGGGGGGCCCAGACTTGGTTATTTGTGGGCTGCTGTGGCCTGGGCTGCACGTAGGGTCTGCTGTAGCGACGGAGGTTGTGAGGGGGGCCCAGGTTGTTCGACCTGTGGACACCTTGGCCTCTAGCGGCAGAATGGTGGGCATCAGCCGCAGCGGAGCGTCTCTGTCTGTGGGGGCGAGCCGTCCCAGACCCATAGCCTGGGTCCTTCTGCAATGGAGCGACATAAGGAGCTCTCCCGTAGCCATACCTCCCTGGGATGATTTGACTGACCCTACTGAAGACATAAAACATGAGGAGATCCACAACTAAACCGGTGACAGTGTAGTAATTATCACTTCCATATCTAGACCAACACATGTAACGTCCAGTTACCTATCATCTGTCTAAATCTGGAAAATATTTTCTACTTAAACCTCTTAAAAACCAACCAATGACTGTACAACAGAGGCCATCATGTATATTTGGATCAGTTTCTTCTTCTATTAGGGATCTTTCAGCTTAATGTCCTCTTTGACTGAGGAAACTGTCAAGGAGCTTCATCTGAACCAGAACTTTTGAGATGCACTAGAATCCCAGTAGCAGAATTCTGGGAGCTTTTGTTGTTATTTGGCTCCTTAGATTCCAACTCAAACAACCCCCCATTACTCAGCTGTCAGTGCTGTTTGTTTAAAGGCGAGCACAACAGGAAGGAGGTCACAAAGCTGCCGAGCACAAGCCGAGCCTTTGACTCCATCCATAAAAGACTAGCTTTCCACTGGAGGGCAGTCAGATGGCCCACAGTGATGGCTCCAAAGAGTCACTTTTAGATCAGGCTGCTCAGCATGCAGCACAGCCGTACAGGCTCTTTAAGGACTCGCAGACCTAAACAAAGACAAGAGCTAAAATACAGAATATTCAACATTGCAATATTGAAATCAATCGCAATAGATTGTCATTGCTGTTTTTCCCAGATAATAATTACAAATTATTTTATACCCATGTGTAGGAAGCTACAGATTGGCCACAAACTGAAGGAGAAACCAACAAGCTTCAATCTGCTTTGGCCAGGATCAGGCTAAATGAGATGGTCAATGTGTCAGAATAATTAGTCATCATTTTTTGGTCAACAGACCTGGCAGACTAAACTTTGGACTTTGACCAATCATCGTTTGCCATCCTTCGTGACTTGTGTGATGAACATAGGCGAGCGGGTAAGTTGCCAGGGACCAGCTTCACTCTACCACCTGACGGCACCAACAACAAATGTATGTGTGCGTCATTAAGGTTTTATGAATGGAGGTAAACCTGGAACCATCTGACATCACTCTCAATAAACCATTATATCAATGTCACTATGTCAATCTCAGTTAGTCTCAGTCAGTAGACAGAAGTTGTGTTGCTGCGCAGGAAACACAGGACAGAGGATAATGCCACAGCCACATGTGTGATGACTGTGATATGTTGCTCCTGGTGCACTACAGAGGATAAACCTGCAACTGTCAGAGATTTTTGTTTATGATGCCCTACGTCTGCTATTATTCGGCTGATATTTCCCCACACATAAATTCTACAAGTTTGCAGACCCCCATTCTTGCAAATCACATCATTTTCATACTCATCAAACCACTCAGTGACCCCTCGTGCTCTTTGTGGGAGCACATTTTCCCCCAATTCCTTTACTAAGGTTTTTACTTTTGTCATCCACCTGTATCTGAACACTTCCTCTGAAGTAAAACAAAAAGGACAGCCTTGGCAAGTTTGGAAGCTCAAGTTGTAAGTACAGCGATTTAAACTCTTGTTTGTTTTGTGGCCAGAAAAAAAGCCATCGCCATGACTGATAACAGTACCTTTGTCCACCTGGTCGGGTCTCTCTCGTCAGCTCACCACGACTGCTGCTGTTGGAAGGCCTGCCTGTGTCGCGATGCAGAGGAACTGATGGCTGCAGGGCTGAGATGACATGGCCAGGTTGCTGAGGATAAACTCCAGCTCTTCTCGAGGGATAAAGGGATGGAGTGTAAACAGGCAGGCAGGGTCTGCTCTGCTCGTGTACCCCTCTCCCACAGGTCCGGGAGCAGGTTGACCAGGACCCCCAGGTGCCCCAGGAGCCCTGAATTTCTCCATGCTCAGCCCTGAACTCCTGTTGGGGCTCTGCCCTCTGAGGAACCTGTATGGAGACAAAACAACCACAATTACTGACACCACATGCGCAAAGAAACAGGACAGTGTCACAAGATGTGGATGCCAGGAATTGATGGAAAGCCTCCATCAACACGACTTTAATCTCCCCAGATCATGGCCGTGTATAAAAGCTCAAGTCACTGACCTCATCTCATCAACATGACTATCCTGCTCCTCTGCCTCCCACCACTATTCATGAAACAGACCTCTGTTCACGGTTATAAAGCCCTGATTTGGCTGATTAGTGGGTGTCTGTTAGTGGCCTATCCCCTATTGGCTACCTGCATTTCTCACTGTTGACTCTATCCCTCTGTGCGGCTCTGCCAGGGATGTATTAGTAGCGATCAGTGCGCTCTCTGTTTGAGGAACCTGCCAGCAGGAGTCCTGTGCCAAGCCGGCTTTATCCGTGGAGCCGCGTGGAAATCCTGCTCTTTAAGGAGCACTTTGTCTCTATTCACAGCAACCTCTCTGGGCAAACACATGGCTGTAGTAAAAGCTCAGCTGCCTTTGACTTTTAGCGGATGGAGGGAGAATACAGAAGCAGTAGGGAGAGTTGGCAGGAAGCTCTTCTGCTGTCAATCAGACTGTGCAGCTATTCAGAGAGACCCCAGACCTCCCTCCTCCTCCTCTACCCTGCTTCAGCCTTTGTAACTCAACGCCACTGTCATCTCCCGTGTCAGCCATAGGTCACACAGCTGGACTCCCGCTGAAAACACATGGAGCTGACTGGAACCAACCCCCCAAAAAACTGACTAGATAGTTGATCTGTCAGTCAGCGTCATACTTGGTGCACCCACTAGCTGCATCCGTGAAGTTCCTGTGGCTGCAGAGTTCAAGAGGTGTTTTGCTGACATCAGCCCTCTGTGTTTCCCTGCAATCAACACAACCTTTCACTCTCTCACTCTCTCTCTCTCTCTCTCTCTCTCTCTCTCTCTCTCTCTCTCTCTCTCTCTCTCTTTCTCTCTCTCTCTCATTACAACTTAACAGATTAGCACCCTGGTCAAGTTCCTCCTGGGAATACTCTCACTGTTTACACACACTGGGGGAAAAAAAATAAAAGAAGGCAGAATGAAAGTCTATAACTTGAGATGGCGTTTGGCTATGCTAACAAGACACGATCATGCATGCCATCTTTGGAGACAAGCATTCCACTCACCAGTGCCAACCACGCAATTAGACTCCTTATTTGAGGGAGGTCTTCTATCATGAAAGTGAGCGTGTCAAACAGATCACACATGTCTGAACACAGATGTATTCGTTTTCAGTAGCACCACCTGCTACACAACTGTTGCTCACCTTCCTGTGGTCTGTTGTGTGTTGGCAGTCCAGGGATTCTGACCAAAGCAGCAGCAGCAGCAGCAGCAGCACAGAAACTCTACAGACAAAACACAGAAGCGATTACTGGTGATACAAATGGTTTTACTGAAACGGCATTATTGCTTAATAAATAAGAATATACTGATGCTATTAAAATATTGCCGTTGATAAAGTGGTACATTTATAGATGGTCAGAACATGAGGTAGCCACACAAAAATAGGAACATAGACATTCATCTGTATTTCAATAAAAATTAATGCACAACACATATATAATCCATTATTGAAACAATCACACTGGCATTACCTGACAATCCAGACACAGGCTCCCCACATAGCTCCTGGATTTTGAGGTGCAGACACTTAAGGGTGAAGAGAGAAGTTTACATTAGCATACACCTGAGTGAGACTGACTGATTTTCAACACAACTGCCGTCTGTGTGACCCCAACCCAGAGGCACTAGACGATGAAAACCCACTTTGACTCTGTCTAATCACTATCCATCTAAAGAATACTGTAGATTTCACTCATCATTTTAGTCTGGACATATAAAAGTATTAAAAGTGAACAGTATTTAATGTTTGAATTACACTACATTTCCGGTAGCTGTGCCTGTCTGCCACAAGTATCCCTCCAATGTCACAATCCTGACACTTGTTTCATTTGCCACTACATCACTCAGTCTGACAGTCTCTCAATACACTGACTCAGGCAAAAAAAAAAAAAGACTTCTACCCACTTGACCATGTGAGTTGACCTCTCTGACCTCTGGCTCCTAATGAGGGAGGAACCCCTGCTGAAAACAAGCCACCCCCTGAACAGCAGGTCTGAGGGCCAGTTAGGGAAGGACTTTCACCCTTCACCCCAGACCATATAACTCAGCCCTACTTTGCACCTTGTCTAAATTAAGATCACTGAACCAGACAGGAGGGTCGGGAAGTGCTGCAGTGTTCAAACCAGAAGAACAACAATACACAGTAAACACACTCCACTCCACTTTCACACTAATTAATTATTATTAATTTGATTTATTGCTATTATTATTATCATTATTGCAGCATGGAAATCAAGAAATAACAGCCCACATATGATATGCCGACGTACCTGTATGTTACTGATGCGGGTATGGTGAAGTATTAGTTACTTCACTCTAATTTCAAACTAGTTTATCCTACTCTGTCGCGTTCACAGATCCATTTCCACGCGCAGGTATCCTCATGGTCGAAAAAGTCATCCAAGTGGAAATGCAGGGTTTCCCTCCAAGAGACTTGGTGCTAAGCCATGTAAGTCAGTAAATCCGTATTCCGGACTGAGAGTTGAATCCTGGCGCAGTAGAAACTCGGGACCCTGATCATCCCGTTGACTCCGGCATTTCTGCTTTTACGCGCAAAGACACAGAATGACAGAAAGCTGGAAACGGACACGAGAGACAGAAAACAACCTCTGCTGCGCCCCCTGCCGCAACTGTTACTCTTTCTTTGTCCGTGTGTGTGTGTGTGTGTGTGTGTGTGTGTGCCATGTAAATATGTAGGTGTGTGCCTCCCTTCCTCCCCCACCCACTCAGTGAGTGCTGCGCTGGGGTTTTCTTGTGTGTGGAATAAAGAGAGCGAGAGCGCAATAGTTTTTCAAAGCTGTCCAAAGTGGAGCCACAGACAGGTAAATGATCTCATCTATCAGCTGCTGTGAAGCCAAAGCTGAAAGCTCCACCCACCAGCTCTGATGGTGAAACACTAAAGGGACTTTTCAGCATCAATAACATCAGCATTATATTTGTACTAGTGCGGCTAGATTAAAGGGTCAGTTGATCCAAATCACAAGTGTCCATAAGTATTTGGACAGTTAAATGTCTTTTGTTCTCAGCACAGCTCAGTACATAATATCTGAAATAAAATAATGGATAATTCATTAAAGTGTGAAGTGTCAGCTTTAATTTGAATGGGTTTATGATGATATTGAAATAACTGTGTGGGAGATATAGCCATTTTGACACATTGTGCCAAAATCGGGTTCAAAAGTGTTTGGACCGTTGACATTTCTTGGACAGCTGTGTGTTTTTTCGACATTAGTTCATACACAAAAAACCTCACAAGTGGCTCAGACTTCATTCAGAGTTAAAAGTTGTCATTAAGATTGAGGTGGAGTTGTCTGTCAATGTGATGAATAAAGACGTGACCACACAGGTGAAGAAGATAGTGAGGCCCAAAAAAAGCAAAAATCTATCAGAGAGATATCAAAAGTAGTCAGTTTGCCAAAATCAACAGATGGGTACATTCTGAAAAAGCAGGTGTGTACAGGGAAACTAGAAAATGGCAAGTGACCAGGTAGGCCGAGGAGCACAAGTCTTTAGAATGAGCAGCAAATCATTTGCACAGTGAACAAAACCCCCTTTATGACTGCACAGGAAGTGTCCAGGATGTAGGCGGACATGTTTTCTTGTCAATGATCAAGATAAGACCTCATGGCCATAACCTCAGAGGATTCAACACGAGATGTAAATCTATGGTAACCCACTTTTTCCACCAGCACTGTGAATGTTTAACGAATTAATTTTTGAATTTAATTCAATAAAGACGCAAAATATTATAATTGTTTGAGTGTTTTTAGTATGAGCACACTGTGTTTTTCTATAGCTGTGACCATGAAGATCAGATCACATTTTATGAGTCACTGATGATTCCAGTTCCAGAGGGTTCACATACATTTTCCTGCCACTATATATACTGTATACTGTATATGCTTGTGATAGCTGATCACTTTAGTCATTGGTCCACCCCGAGTCCACTGAAGAGAACAATTCCTTACTTCTGTATGGCCTACAGTAGCGGTGTGTAGTTATGTTTTGCTCCAGAGTGAAATCACTGAGGTTGATTCTTTACAGTTTTCATAAACTGAAAGAAATGGTGTATTGCTCTCTTTAGCCTCTTTGTTTTATTTGAGAGAACAAAACAAAGCTATGCATTGTTCAGTGGATTACACCATACTATGACACACTGTATATAGCTCATTATAGCCATTGTCTATAAACATGCTGGCCTGACAGTGGCTTCATTATTTAGCCAACATAATCTGTCAATATTGGGAAATCTATCATTGTATCAATATCACAAATGTAAGACTGTACTGATCCACACTGCAAAAGCTATTTTAAATACCTAGCCTATATATACGTATCACTGCATGTATCTGCAGAAGAGCTGGTCCTTATTGCTCCCGCTGACCGTCCTTACTGATGTGTGCATAAATGTTGATGCTGCTCAGGAATATGCCTTTAACCACAATGGTTTCAAACTCTTCACAGGCAAACAAGCCTCCAATTAAAGCATCGTTAATGAACTACCGTTCCGGATGACCCATTGAAGGTCACTTGAGACGAGATTTAGAGAGGCGAGTCACTGTTGTCTGGACAAAAATGTGCATTGACGCAAACTATGCTGGAAAAAATGTCCATCTAAAAGTCACTTAAGCAGGAGAAAATATTCTACAGCGTTGTGGTACTTTTACTTTTGCATCTGTGAAAAATATGATAATGGCTTAATATAACTTTAATTGTTTGCAATGAAGGCTTATTTGATTTAAAAAAAAATACTTGCACTGCTGTCTAAGATAATGTAACATGATTTTCAATCATTCCTATATTTGGTTGATATATTAACAATATGTTACTCTTTGATGTTATCTAATTTTATCTAATCTTGAATAAAAACCACACTGTAAACAAGTTCCAGTTTGGGATTTTTTTTTTGCAGTGCATGACTTACAATAAACAATGCTCTTGGTTCATTCCAGGAGAAACTAATAGTTGGTGCTGTGAGGTGGAACGAATTGGCAGCCGTTTCTCCAGACTATCAGAGGGTCGAGCACATCAACACTGCAGCCTCCAAACCAGTGCTTAGGTTTATTGCTTGTCATTCACCCAAGCACAAATTGTGAAGATAATATTGCATGGCCATAGTCTCTAAGTAAGTCCATATAATACTGCTTTCTCTCTGCTACTCTAACCTCCTGTGTATCTGTATAAAACTATTGGAACAACATTACACTGTTACTTATAGCTGAATGATAAAAGTTTCAGCATGTTCTCTGCAGGTTATCAAAAAGTATTCTGGGGAATGTAGGAAATGAGGAACTAAAACAGTGATACACAAGGCAGACTAATATACACTTATATGTATATTAGTGTAATTATATGCTTTCTTAAAATGACACTTCTTTCACAGGCTTGCAAACATACTACACTGTTTTGCTTTTCATTAGCAGAGCCCCTCTTGGCGGATCTCTGTGCCCTGGCAGCTGAGGCCTACATGCCTGCCATAGTGCTGTTATGACTGGATCAAAAACACTGCTTTGATTCATCATAAAACACTTTCATTGGTGATCCAAAAGTTCAGTTATCAACTTAGATAACAGCCATGTTATTGATGATGATAGCTCAAATTCACACACAAAAAAAAAAACCTAAACTGAAAAAATGCTTCTGTAGAATGTTGTACTTAACTGCCTTTTAAAAAGTACACAGTCAAAAATAGATTGTTTTGGAGAAATATGTTGGGTGGATTAATGGATGGGGACACCTGTCATCACCATCAGCATCGAGCCTGGTTGTGATGTACTTACAATCATCAAGGTCTGTAGCACTGCTTTTTGCCGTCTGTCAAAAACTCAAAAAAGATGTGTATCATGAATGCCAGTGTGCGGCTCTATAAAGAGACAAAACAAATACCATCTTTAATTCGAGCAACAGATTGATTGTGGATTATTACTCACCACGACATATGGACTTCAGGTTAAAGTGCTCAGCCGAGTTAACTGTGTGGGCCTCAGGAAGTACTACACTGTCTGGACTTTTAAACTGCTTTCCAGCGATGAGACATTGTTCTTACTCTCTGTCTCTGCACGCTGTCACTCGTCATGGAGTTCAGTCAGTCCTTATGGGAGTAGAGGTCTCTCACGCTGACAGCCGTAGTCACATAAAACAACAAAATGTGTCAGCACAAAGCAATGTTGTTTATCAGAGTAGCTCAAAATAAACTTGCTGTAGCTTTTTGATAGCAGACCCTTGCACCAAGTGGTTTCTTGTCAAAGCAGAATACAAAGCGTTCAGTTTTCATGTTTGTATGAGATCTTCAGGGGAAAGCTGCCCCAAAAAGCTACACGTAATGCAGTCATAGAGCACATTTAGGTATTTGTCTTTGTCTTCCAATTCAGATTAACCAATCAAGAGATATTGTATTTTGCCATGTAGCAGGGGAAAAACCTAATTTGGTGGTGGAAGGATGTGGGAAATCTGGGCCAACACATCTCCAGAAGAATAAATAGTAAATTCTAATGCCAAAAATTCATACAGATTTTTGAAAAATAAGAAATGTATGCGTTTGTTTACTGTTTATGTCTGGATAAAGTACTGAAGATACTGAACTATAGAAGCCTTTCACAAGACCATCCAAAAGTCTGGTTTGGATTAAATTTCTTGAGAGAGTCTACCACCAGGATCATTAAGATGAACCTAAACATTCACTGATAGAAGTTCACTATCGGTCACTAATGACATTGAAAACCAGAGGACAACAACTCAGAACTGAGAAGAGACAAACTCATTTAACATACAAGCCGGTGTTCTTGTCTTCAAATCAAATACCCTTGAGCAAGGCATTGATCTCCAGTGAAGTGGATGACATGGGACAGCAGTACCTGTCAACTTCTTTGTGTGTGTAGAACCATTTAACACTTCATCCCCCTGCAGTTACTCCTCCAGGTTGGTGCTTCTTTCTCCACCTGACATGCCTGATTAAATAAGGGTTAAAAAAAATTCTTTGCAGGTTGGTTTGAGTGAGGAGAGCAGGAACAGGTGGTGAGGAACTGGTGTTGCCTTTATGCCTTCGGGGACATTCCAGCCTGAGTTCACACCACCTAGAGGACCCTTCATGGTATCTGGACCACCTAGCTCACACACACACACAGCCTCTGCCTCATGGGAGACCCGTGGTCTGTGAGGTGTTGGACCTAAAGTGAAACAGCTAATGTTGACTGATTTGATTCCTGATTTCTCCATTCCTGGGAAGACATTTCTAAGAAAAACAACCATGTAAACCATATACACAACCTGAGTGTTAATACAGAATATTTTAATACTAAGTACAATACAGAAAATCAGTGGTAAACAAAGAAAAGTCATTGTCCTTGTTTGTGCCCTTCTTTTATGTCAGGCAGGAGAAAGTGAGAGATCAATGCAGTGAAACAAGATTTAAGCCACAGAAAAATCATTCTAGTCTCGAGAAAAGAGACACCGGTCATTTTCAGCTGATGGCGGTAATGATGAAGAGGGGTCATTCAGAAGGCTTTTAAAGTGCAGAGGATGCTCCGTAGGGACCACAATGCACCTTGAGTCTCTTAGTCCCTATAACTTTCCTCAAGTATGTTACAGCTCCAAGCACTAAAGAATCAGACAGTGCGTTTAAAGTGAAAATCTACATTCAATCAAGATGCCTTTGTCATGACAGTTTCTTTAGCTATCTTTAAAACAGTCTACATCCATCTTAAGAGAGAGAGTTTCCCCACACTGGAGAAATACACCCATCATTTCCAAACATTTTAATAACTGATAAAGTCACTAAGTGATGACGTGTTATAGATGGCATTTGAGACTGGAGGCCACCAGGAAAACAATGTCCACATGTGCGCGGTGTGTGTGTGTGGTCAAAGAGTGAACCTTTGGTCCTCTTCACTTGGTCTCGGAGAGCTTTGCAAGGCTGGCTTGGCAGAAGGCCGCTCGGTCCCTCATCTCCAACACACAGTCTCTCACCATCTCTGCAAACATGGACGGCCAGAGTTTGTGAAGAGCCTCGCCCTTCAGATTGGTGTCTGATGCTCTTTGGACCAGCTCCTGGAGGTACTGCTCTATCATGGAAGCACGCTCCGATGACTCCACAGTGCCCTCCTGTAAGGAAAACAAAGGTAACGTTGATTTGGTTTGAGTGTTATAGTGACATTAAGGTGAAGAGTAGTGGTAGGAAAAGAAAGAGTAAAGCTTGCTCAATTAATTTTGACAACATTTTTAACCACTGCAAATAGTTCATCTTGATCATTTGATTTAGGCCTTACGGAGAAGCTGTCAATGGATAAACTCATTAGATGTAACGTAATTTAAATGTATCTGTCACAGTACACAGTGTTAAACATTAATATAGTTGTTGAGCAGGATATTGGTTATTTAGAATGCCAACAAACAGGTTTTTTAGCAGAGCACCACCAGAGCACCTTGAAAATATGTTTTCAGGGTCAGATGGTGTCCTTTTTTCACTTGAATTTACATTTCTGGGGTGAGTGATGATATAAAGTTATGTCTAAAGGGATATGTGAAATGACTTAACTGGAGATGACTAAACTTCTGAAAAGTGTAAAGTTTTTCTCATTATCTTGTTCACCTCCACTACCTCCAACCTTGAGGTAAATGCTGTGCGCAAACCTTTTTTTCTGTTTTTCATGAATAAGCTTAACTTGCCATCTTCATGGCAATGATAGAATAGTCTCCTGGTTAAAACTACAGTCTCCAAATATTGTACAATAGAGAGAAAAGATTAAGTTGGTTTACGTCATGGAGAAGATCCCCATAAAGCTGCAATTGAAAACAAATTTTTATGAAAACATCAGCACGTGCCTCTTAAAACAATAAAAACAATGTCACCCTAATGCAACAGTATGTCGACAGAGTAAGGGTAACTTCGTTCTATATGCCACAGAAACATAGCTATACAGCTATATCAGGCAGCGGCATAAATTCATTGCTGGTATTGGTTTTATTTTGGTATTGGTTAAAAAGCTAAAATGCCTGTCTAATCAATTAATTGAATAAATGTAGGTTTAAACTTATCCTAGATGAATAAAAATGTGCATCCACTCAGACAGGTTATCAAAGAGCTGACCTGAGCAGGAGGCAGACAAGCAAGAGCAATACCACACCAGAACAAGTACCAGTATTGTTCAGCAGCATCTGATCCGCACAAACAAAACCACAGATGAACCACTTCATCTTCAGTGGATGGAGGTGAGGAAATAAAATTGCATTATAACTGGATTAGTGCTGCTGACGGCTTTCCATCAGGAAAAAAAGGCCATGGTAGCAAAAATGCTGCAGTACCTGTTTGGTATGTTTTTTTTGTTTTCTTAGGCTTCTCAGGTGCTGAGTGGGCCGTTGTCCCAAATGTCATGTATGTATTGCTGTGTAACTGAAGGGTGGCTAAAGCTTGAAGTAATATTTGAGACTAGGAGTAAGCCCGGGTGTAGGTCACGTCAGCTTTATTCGGCTGAGGAAAGAGGTTTTGAGATCCCAGAAATCACTGTTAAAGCCTCTGGATGTGATGTGGGGTTTATATGCTATGTCTGCCAATGCATAATTTCTGGCAATAGTGGCTGTACGGTTTCCATTTGTTAGCACAAGTCTAGTGGCACCAATGGAAGCTTGATTTTCAGGAAACTCATTGGCTAGTTTGGAAGTTCTGTCACTTCTTTTTTGCAGGGTAGATTTCTGTGTCCTTGATCCAAGATCCAAGTGACGACATCAAATAGCAGTGCAATTTGCTTAATTGTTTTTCTAAGGAAACACGGCAGTGGAGCACAACATGGAATTTCACTGGAAATCACAGTATAATAGCACAGAAAGTGAAATCATAAACTCACTGAGCACTTTATTAGGAACACCTGTGCATTCATGTTGTTATCCAGTCAGCCAATCATGTGGCAGCAGTGCAGTGCATAAAATCATGCAAATACAGGTCAAAGCTAAAATCAAACATAAGATCTCAGTGACTTTGACTGTGGCATGAATGTTGGTGCCAGACGGGCTTGTTTTAGTATTTCTGAAACTGTTGATCTCCTTGGATTTTCACAAACAACAGTGTCTAAATTTTACTCAGAATGGTGCCAAAAACAAACAAAATACAGAGAGCAGCAGTTTTTGTGGATGGAAACAACTTGTTGACAGAAAGGCTACCATAACTCAGATAACCAGGTTTTACAACTGTGGTGAGCAGAAAAGCATCTCACACAACACATCCAACATTGAGGTAGATGGGAAAAATTGGCAGAAGACCACATCAGATTTCACTCCTGTCAGACAGGAACAGACACCTGAAGCTGCAGTGGGCACAGGCTGACCAAAACAGATGACTCAGGATTTCTGCTGAGGCAGACAGTAGAGTCAGAATGTGGCATTAACAACATGAATCCATACCTTGTGTCAGACTGGGCTGGTGGTGGTGTGGTGGCGTAATGGTGTGGGGAATGTTTTCTTGTCCACTTTAGGGCCCTTAATACCAATCAAACATGTTTTGAATGCCGCAGCCTATGTGAGTATTGTTACTGACCATGTGCATCAATGTATGGCCACAATTTACCATCTTCTAATGGCTATATCCAGCATGATAATGCACCATGTCACAGAGCAAAATTTGTCTCAAACTGGTTTCATGACTGTGACAGTTAGTTCAATGTAATTCAGTGGCCTCCCCAGTCACCAGATCTGAATCCAATATAACACCTTTGGGACTTGGTAGAAGTGGAGATCAGCAGTATGAATGTGCAGCTGACACATCAGCAGAGATGATTCGATACAGCCATGTCAACATGGAACAGAATCTAAAGTTTCCAACGTCTTGTGGAGCAAAGAACTGAAGCTGTTTTGAGTATTAGTATGGTAGGACCAGTATTAGTATTGAGCTCATAATAAAGTGCTCAGTGAGTGTATCCGGTGTTGACAAAGTGCATTCTGCAAAACATATGTGATCAGAATCTTCTTTACTGATGTTTTTAAGGTTGAGGTTTTGTCTGTCTGTTATAGCAAACAAATGGGTTGATGGGGTATTAAACTAGTAACAGTCTGTTTCAAGAGTTGTTGCAGTTTCTCATAACCATTGGGGTGTTGTGAGAAAGCTCCAGAGAAAAAAACAGCACTGACCTCAGGGCTGTCTGCACTGCAGTCTCTGCTTGGGTAATTGAACAGCGCTCTACTCAGGCTTTCGCCCAGGAGCTTCCCGTTGTCTCGTAGCTCCTCTGGACTCATCCCTGCTCGTCGTCCACGCCCCTCCAACAGGAATTGCAGCTGCCGCTTCCTTCAAGGTGAAGAGAGAGGAGACACGAGGGGAGATATAGCGACAGCAAGTGAGTAACACCAAGATAATAAAGATGTGTTCTTGTATTTATCTAATAACACTCTCTCAAACTCAGAACTAAAAGCACATAAAGCACAGAGGAGCACCCAGCTCTTTGAAACACACCATTATTCATGAGATGACAACACTCAAACTGTCACTAAATACATTTTTAACAATTCTACCTTTGAATAAATTTCCATCCATCTCTGTAAGTGTTTTAATTGCAGTCTTATCAGCAGCAGCATGTGTACACTTATAAAAGCAGTAGAGCACTTTAAAAGTGATGTAAACTACATCAAATGTTTCTGTCAGTATGAAATCTCATGTGATACACTACTGCACCAACATGTTTCAGAGGCTGGTGCCAGGATGCTGCAAGAGGCTCTCCAGAGGAGGCTGCAGGCAAACATTCCATATTGGACAAGACAGTTTGAAAAGTGTGTGTGAACGTGTGTGCATGTTTTAGTCACACACTACGCTGACTAACAAGGTGAAACACGCTTAAGGAAGGTGGTGTGTGTGTGTGTGTGTGTGTGTGTGTGTGTGTGTGTGTGTGTGTGTGTGTGTGTGTATGTGTGTGTGTGTGTGCGTGTGTGTGTCTCATAGATACAATTTATGTTTGTGCATATTTGTTACTGAAAAAAAGTGAGTGTCGTGTATCCATAAAACAAATTTGTCTGTCTCTGTGAAGGGGTTCTCATGCGAACAATAATCAGTGTCTGGTGAAAACCTTATAACAGAACTTGCAGAGTTCCTTCTTCCCCTTAAGGTTTAAGCCAAAAGTTAACATGATACTTTAGTTGCTGACTGAACTTTACAAACACAGAGCCAATGAAATCTATTTAACGGTCTTGTGCGATATAGTTGTATTTTGTAAGGTATAAGGTTTTCAGCCAACAATGGCATTAAGTATTATAGCAGGTACATTCACTTCCTCATTAAAACCCCTTCCCTTGATGTCTTCCCTTTAATGAGACCCTTGGTGATGAAATTTGTGAGGTGAGCTCTCTTTACTGTTATCTAGGGAACAAGGTCAAGAGATAAACTGAGGCTCAAATCAAACAACACTAACAACCAATACATGGAAATGTTGCCTTAAAAAAATTTTTCTAATTTTTTATTTATTTATTTTTTTTTTTATGCTTTAGAGGCTTTTATTTATTTTTATGACAATTTATTCACAGTGTAGCATTATAATTAAACAGCAAATAAAAGCAGAGGATTCACAAACTACAGAATCCAACCAGTGTGATGTATGTGATGTGATGTATTGTACGTTATGCTTCATGCTGCAAGCACTGTATACCCTTGCTAGAGGGGAGGCAGGGAAGACAAGGGGGTGAGGGAATATATTAATGTGCTTAAAAACATTTAAGACCAAATTTGTATATGTTTGCTGGTAACAATTTTTCATCTGGCCAGGCTGGGGACTACCACCTTGATTCAAAGCAGGACAATATCCAGAGGCAAATGTTTTGCATGAAACTGAGACATTAGCGAGATAGCATCAGATCATATGTATTAAGTATTAATTATAAGTATAAAATATTACTAAGGAATGATGAACTAAAAATAGACCTGTTCAGCAGAAAACAGCAGCCAGACCATAAGACTTGCCCTTAAAAAAAATTTGGTGTGCAAAACCTGACCAAATGATCTGTCTTTACAGAGGCCTGTGTCCACAGCAATCTGTAATTAAAATCCTGAAGCTAAGGATTGCATGCAACATAAATAGTATCATATCTGGGTCAAACTGAATTTTTAGATACATTTTATCCTACTTGGAGTGTGTGGGGTTTACAACTCAGCAATTCAGTTAGTGTTCCATATGCTGGAGGACACAGTCTTATACTATATGGATATTTCAAAGAATTTAGTGAAGTGAAATTATGAATTCCAAAAAGCAATAGTTAAAGGTTATACAGAGTTATATTAAGTGTACACGTCTACATAGGTGGAGGCTTTCATTACAGTATTTTTTACCTTACTGTAAGATGTAATGCAATGTACAGTAGTAGGATTCCCGAAACCATGAGAATGTTAGGGCCTTCCTCTACACACTGATGTCTCAACAGTATTTTGTGCCATACCCACACTCCACTGAGCAACACAAGAGCATAAAGTGAAAAAAAACTTTGTGTGACCATGGAACAAGCTTTTGTTATCATTTCTACAAATAAACTAAAACCAGAAAACACACTTTACAGTACAGATAAAAGAGTCCACAGCAGGAAGGCTTTGAGAAATAAGTTGTCAAATCTAACAGCATTTAGTGTAATGAATGGATATAATTGACTTTAGGGCGAGTCATTCTGCATGCAGATAACTGTGATTAAGATTTCAGCACTCATAAGAAACTAATCTGCAGCCTTGGGCTGTTGTGTGTTATCTATCCATAACAGGGTGTGTATAAATCAGAGTGAGATGCAGCCGAGAGCCAGTTGTCCTAAAGTTTACTAGTTCACTTTTCAGCAAGATTCTGAAAGGGGAACTGAGGACAATGAGGCAGCTCGAATTCATTGCCAGTCTCACACAGTGCTGTACTGTTCAACAGTAATTAATGAGAAGGTTTTCTGAATTTTGTTTATATTTTAGCAAATGCATTCCCTTTTTTCAGCCCCACTGAAATCCACACTTAGTTCTGTTAACCAGTCAGATGATTGAGCAAATAATGGTTGCTTAATTCTCTGTCAGTTCTATTTTCTAGTATTAATATTGAATGTTACCTATGCTGTAACAAAAAAGTACAGTCAAAATCAAGGACATTTCAGTGTATTGGGCTGATATTCTTTGAGGGATGCAATGGTAAAGAGTTGGTTTACATTTTAAATTGGTTTAGAGAGAATTAGAAATGACAGGTCTCACATGTTGTTGATTTATTATTAGTATTATCTAACCATTGTTTTTTTGTGTGTATTTTGAGAGCTGATAAAAAGGAAAAAAAAAAAGGAAAAAAAATAGATGATTCAGCCTGGCAATTTTCCAGTCTTTAGTCAGACTTATGAGGAGCTGTAAAATCTGTGCAGCTTCACAATTTTGTCTTTTTGCCTCTGTCTAAAAAATATTCCTGTGCGTGACAAATTCAAAAAATTTTTGCTTTGCAAGGATGTTTTTCATTGACCCAGAGTGACAGACCTCAAGAGCTTTTGGCTGGGGAGAGAGAGGAATGTTTGTGTGGAAGTGCCAAGTACCCACCCTTACCCTGAGACACATAGTCTAATTCTCCTGGCTCCTCTGTGCCAGGCTCCGTCTCGCTGCCTGACACACAGACACACAGAGACACACACACACACACACACACACACACACACACACACACACACACACACACACACACACACACACACACACACAAATGTATACACGCAAAACGCTACGCACAGGCATGCACATACACGTACAGTAGCCTACACATTCGCAAGCTGTAACTCACATATATCCACATTTAAGAATCCACACATTCTTGACATATTTAAAGCAAACACAGTCCAGGACACTGAACACACCTGTCATTAAATTGTAGTTAATGTTATGTTGTAGTTCAGTGCCTGAGATCAAGTTCTCACCTGGACTCCTCCAGCAGTAGCAGGAGCCGGCAACGTGGAGTTTCGGTGGCTGCTATATGACCCAGTGTTCCAAACACACGCTCTGCAGCGATCACATCGTTCATGGTAACCTGAGGTAGATACACAAACATGGAGTACATTTCAGATGCTGATTGGGCTAAGACATAAAATCAACAGTGGACAAAATTAAATAAAGGTAAGAAATGTATGGGCAAGAAAACAACTGCAAGTATAATCTAATTTCATTATTCATCAAATCAAGTCTATAAAGAGTTGTAATTTGGAGGCAATTCATTCATTTTCAGACTTAGATGAGACAGGCAGTACCACTCTCATGTCTATCCGTATAACTACAGCCAGCTGCGAGTTACCCTACCTTAGCATGAGCCTACCATGTACATTTTACGGAGAGTTTTGTGCCGGACTCTTTCTTGGCTGGGACCACTTGCCAAGCAGCCAGCAAAAAATCCAGGAAGTAATTGCTCAAAGCCAAGAAAGCCCCTACTCCCCCACAATGTACAGATTAAACAAATATAACAGAGATATAATGTGCAAATTAGTCATTTTAAGAGGTGTTGGTAGGAACATTAAATTACCTTTGTACAGAGCAAGGGAAGCCTTTTCCAGTCTTTGAGTCTGTTTGCTAAACTAGGCTTACCTGCTGCTGCATGCAGCCTTATATTTAATGGACAGTGGTGAGAGTGGTATGAACCTTCTCATTTAACTCTCTACTACAAAACAAGTGAGTATGTTTCTCAAAAAGTCTAACTGCTCAGTTGCAATATTTTGTTTCTAAAGGGGTATATTAAAATAATACATTTAACGCCTTATAATTAAGACTGAAATTTGGTTACTACATTTGTTTCTTACAAAAGCAACAGGAAATGCCAGCAGGAGGACTGCACTGAAAATTCATTTGGTCCTCACCTCCTGGCCATTGATCCTCTGCAGGTTGAAGTGGTGGAGGCGGTAGATGACGAAGGAGCGCCATAGAGCCAGACTGACCACTGGGTTGCCCTCTGGGTGGATAGTCAGCTGGTCCAGACGCCTCACCTGAGCCAGGGCTGCCAGCTGCGGCAGACGGCTGATGTTGGTTTCCAAGAAGATCAGGTGCTGTAGAAAAGGTAATGAGTAAGTCTTAGAAGTAGAAAAGATACATATATCATGCATTGTTAGCCCAAACTTTAGTCCTAAAACTAAGTAACATAACATAATTGATTGGAAATGGTAACTTCTCAAATCCATCCATACACATTCAAGCCCGGATCTGATCCGGAATATGAGAGTGGACAGCACAAACATCTGCATCTTGAGAAAAAAATTACATTGGGTTAATGTGGTGCTCTAGTCCTACCACTGTTCAATATAGAAAATGGTTCAGTAATCACTTGTTTGTTGATTACAAACAAGGACTATTTGGCTGTGATCCATCAGCCAATCCCTCCAAAATCAATGTCATTTTTGTGTCATGACATAGCAGGTTTTAGGTGACATTCAGCATTTACCACAACCATATGTGTAGCTACAATGAAAAATCTACATTCAATTTTTTTTTAATTCTAGGGGAGTTCATGTTAACATCATGCCATGCCTCATTATGGTATATGGCTAGTGCCCTCACCGATAGATTGGGGAACTTGACCCTTATTCGCGGCAGTGTTGGTACAATAGCGTCAAAGTTGATGTATCGGAAGGTTATTACAGTGACAGCACCAGCGGTCTGAACTCCCCAACCCCTCTCCAGGGCCTCCAGGGCTCCAAGTCCAAACAAACGCAGGGTGTCTCCATCCAGCTCCGCCAGGTGACTGTCAGACAGGGACAAACTCTGAACACTGCCGCTTCCTGCCTCCAGAAGCCTGCAAAGCATACACACACACACACACACACACACACACACACACACACACACACACACACACAGTCTTCATATGCTGAATGCACAGAATTTGTTGCCTTGAGAAAAAAAAAGAGTATCTTTGAGCCTAAAGTGCTTTGTTTACATTTGTTTGAAAAAGCAGGCATTGTGCTAAGAGAAGGAAAAAACAACATCACTACTGAATTCTCAGTGGTCCAGTCAGTGTCCTACTTGTGTTGCCTAATTGCTTTCTATTCTCCTATACAACAGTTGAAGTGCCCTTCCCTGATAAAAGAGTCGTGAGAGTGAAGAATCTGGGCAAGTCTCAAGGAGACATAATCTCCTCTCCCTGCCCATGTGCTCAGCCTTCTGGGTCTGCTGACACTCAGGGGACTTTTCAGCATAGCAGGGCATCAGATGGCTACTGGCTGCTGGCTACTCAACACTGATCATTTTGGGTTCAGCCTGCCAACAAACTAATCACCCCCTATTCATATTTCACACCCTTCCAATCTCGCCGCAACAGAAAGCCACAGTAGTTAGAAGACTAATCCTTTGATTGCAGAACTCCAAGATTGTTGTTGAGACCAATTTTTATAAAGTGTGCGTTTAAGTAGTGAGGTGAGCGACAGAACCGCTCACAGTCAGGGACAGAAAACAAAAACAAGATGAAAAAGGACAGTAGACATACTGTAGACAGAGAGATACATACTGTAGATGGGGAGACAAATGAGCTGTACTGTAACTGAAGCTTCTTTGAAAAAATCCACCTTTGTTGTAGGCACAGTAAGACTGATCCCCCAGAGGTGACTGCTCTGTGTCCCGGGGAGAAGGAACAGATTCCTCTCCTAACTGAGCAGCAAAAAGGGGATCAAAGACTTGGAGAATTAGACAAACAATTAATCTGGATTACTAAGGGCCATCTTTAAAATGAGAAGTATGCTATGGTAGATTGGAGTCTCTGCCAAATAAGGAGGTCCACGTGAAGTAAAAACAGGGAGAGAAAAGAAGAGAGGAGTGATGTAGACAGAGGTGTACTTTTCAGTCTAAACAAAAAATAATTCTGTACATCCTAATGTCCACAGTAGTAGTAGCTGGAAGTAGACTCTAACAATTGTCTTTTTTGTCGTAGATCTAAATACATTGTTCGTTTATCAGTATATCAGTTTTATCATATAACCATATAAAGTCTGAAACATAATGTCTTGGAAGATAAAAATACCATGTTAAAGCTTTTCTCTCTATTACATGCAGTTTATAAAAGTAAATCCAGTCATTTTGAAAATAATTTGTTGGTGCATCAGAGTAATCTGCTGTTGATTAGTGCTGCAACTAATGATTATTTTCATTATCAACTAATCTGCAGATATTTTTCTCAATTAATCTGTTAACTGTTGGTCTAAAAAATGTCAAGATGAGGTCTTCAAATTGCTTTTTCTCACCAACAGTCCAGATCCCAAAGATATTTGATTTATTGTCACAAACAAAGAAAGCAGCAAAATGTTGAGTACTTCATACTGAACTGGAATATTCCACCAGCCATTTTCATATGGTTCCCCAGTTGGAGGAGGAACTTGACAGAACGTTGAAATCATGTTTTCGGTGGGTGACATTTTCGCCTCGAGTTACTTTAACTTGTTCTTGTGTAAAAGACAGGTGAGTGGTCAGGAGCCTCAGGACGAGAAAAAGTACAGCAACAGGTTGTACCATGTGTCTGTGTGTGTGTGTGTGTGTGTGTTTGTGTGTTCTTGCATGTGTCTTTGTAAGTGTACGGGGTGTGTGTTGTATAGTAGGTCAAAGTCAGTGTCTTCTTTTAGATCGTAGTTTCCCTGCGAGTGCCGTCAGTAATTAGTTCAGATAGTTTTAACTAATCATCAGGAAAACTACAGCTCACCAAAACAAGCCACAAATTACACTTGCCGGTAAACACAACAACTACATTCATCGTATAATATAGCCTGAATCTTTTCCAAATAAACCACTGACGGGTAATGTCCCACTTAATAATCACATTTGTATCCACAAATCAACCTTATACCTTACTTAAGGTGATCCACCAATGCACCATGTCTGAAAGCCTTTCTTAATCAAATGTCAAGGGATGGTCACCGGAGACTGCGGGGGATCCCATGGCTATATTAAAAGAACTGGATACACAGAGTCATCCTTGCTGTCAATTTTCCCAGTGGCCAACCACTGAACTCCAACTAAAAAATCCACTGACAGTATAGAAACCCTTTTTCCCAGAGACTATGATTACAAACCACTTGTCTGTAAAACTTTGACAGGACACCATGAACAAGACCAATTATTAAACTGGGACCTTGCCACACTACCAACCTCTAAATTTGACACAGGCATTGACAGATATCAAAAGGCCTCAGAAAAGTGAATTGTTGCGGTGACTGCGGTTACAAAAGTAGGTATAAGTACAAAAATGGTAGAGGAGGAGAAGATGAGTGTACTCCTCCAGATAATGAAATGTGCATTCAAATGGAAATAGCATTGACTGGGACAAAGTGTAATATTTAAAGTATTAAAACCAAATGTGGTAGTAAAGGAACTAAAATTGTAAAGTTTAAGTGTGTCCTGTTGCAAGCACACACATGGACAGAAACATGGGACTTGGATAGCACTAGACGGAGCGGCACCAGACACTGAAAGGCAATTTAAACATCAGGATATGCCACTGCTCCGAGATGTGGGATTGCCAAAGGCTGTAAAACAGAAGGACTTGGAGAGCAGCACAGGAGATGGAGCGTAACATGTAGATAAGTCACGTAAAGAATGGGGGTAACTTCTGTTCTCCTGGAAGTGTGCCATCAACACACTCTGCACTGTGTCGCATATTGTTCCCCCGTAATCACAGCTGAAAGGCTGCCAGGTGGCCCTGAATCCCCCTCTGACATTAACCCAGCAACAAGTGCTGAGAGAAGAAGTGAACAAGGCGGGGAAGACAGAATGAAGAATCTGTCACAATTACATGGATCCTGCTCTGGCCCATTAGACTCAGAATCTAATTCAATTAGGGCTATCTCACTTAATCCTACTGGAGTTTTAAAAAGGATATCTGTCATCTCTCAACAATTTAATACCCCAAAAGACATGGCTTGTAGCATACACGTCTCCAATAGCCTAAATACTGCGTGGTAGTGACACGCTTGAAAGATGATTCTCTGGGCTGTCATTACAAAATAGCATTTCATCATTTCACTCTGGGTGAAAACAAATGGTTCAACTGGTGCAGAGCAGACGTCATATATAATAACAATAATAACTTTTCAAAACTCCAGTTACAGCATGCTACAACAAGACACCAAAATAAACTAAGGTCATAAGATAAAAAATAGGAGCACTTCACTGATGTAGGTTAAAGAAATCATAAAACAGGGATTTAACGTGAATACTAAGACAAATAAAATAAAGTAAAAACTCAAACAAAGTCAGGATAGGTTGTCCAATAAAAGCATGTTTTCAGAAGGGATTTAAAAGATGTCACTGACTCAGGAAGCCAGATTTCCTCAGGCAGGTCTTTCCAGAGCCGTGGGGCCCTGACAGCAAATGCTCTGTCCCTTTTACTTACTTACTGTATTGTATGCTTATCAGGTGCTGAGCCCTGCAGAGTGTTACTGTTAAGTTTGTTTATATAGTGCGGTGGTTTTGGTTTGTTTCATTTGAGGACACTGCTAAACTTCTTTCTCAACACTCTGAAGATAAGTTATTGATTTATGTGCCTGCAAAACCAGCTGTTCACGATCTCAGCGCCACTCTTCATTAACTGAATGTATGAATAGTACAAATGCCTTTCCATCTCCACGGTGACCAACTACACTGTTGGAATTCTGGGTTATAACTGTTCAACTCAGGGGAAATGAAAATTTAAATCTCCCACAAAAGAATAAATTTGGGATCCCATCACAGCCAAACTTTGGCAGTGACACAAGCTTTTGTCCCAAAACTTCACTGTGGGGTGACAGTGACACTGTCATGCTAAATGTGGTGTCAAAAATCATTTCAACCTCATTTTAATTTACCACCAAACTGGGGCTGCCAATGGTGAGCAGAGATAACATCATGGGTTTTCCTTCATACACAACCAGCCAATGTATCCAAATTTATTTAGCGCAGCTCAATCAGTCATATTACACAGAAATATGAAGGTTTTCAAGTCTTGGTGTAGTTAGCTTATCTAACTAACTAACTAATTAGCTGACGAAGCATATTAAATACTGAGGAAAATGTATTCAACAACTTCAAATGACTACATTTCAGAGAGTCTGTTGAGCTGGCAATCTGAAGATAAACTGATTTGTTGAAACACAGGATCAGATTCATCTTCACCCTTATTCTTCATCAAATTTAACTATACTCTTAGGCAGTGCAGTTGAGCCATTGTGTACAAAGTTGTCACTTTTGCCATAACTACTCTATAATTCTGTGTGACACATAAAACCATGCTGATCCATTACAAAATACTGGCTTAAATCATACCTGGAAATAAATTGTTTCATGCAGTATGTGCAGCTTTTTCATTGTCTGCATCTCTTTCTCTTTCCATGTTTGTGAACAGTGGTCAGTTTTTAAAGCAAGAATTTCCAAGTCAAGGGGCGCCTCGGTGGCTCACCTGTTAGAGCACTTACCACATAGGCTTAGTCCTGACTACAGTGGCCATGGGTTCAAGTCCTCTCTCTCCCTCCCTGACTTTCCTGTCTATCACACACTGTCCCTGTCAGAATAAAGGCAAAAATGCCCAAAAATATAATGAAAAAAAAAAAATTCCAAGTCAATCAGAATCACCAATAGAAACATGAATTTAAATGTTAGAAATGTTAGAAATCCTAAGTAGAAGATATAATTATAGCAGCAGCAAATTCAGTCATAAGAAAGATCATGGCAATTGATATCTGTAATTTTTCCTCTTGTCTCTGGATGTTTTTCAAACAAATTCATCAATTAATTTTCTACTCTAGGTCTTCCAACAAAACTAAGTGTGAAACACTAAGGACTATTGAAATTTCAAGATTTTTCACAACTGGAGAATAATCATACACAGTTCTGACTTTTCTAAATGTGTTTTAAATGTCTCTAAACATTTAAGAAATAGAGGGCAGTCTCCAGTATGTTACTAAGAGAGAAACACACAGGCATATATACACAGTACCAATAGGTTGCCCTGTTCCCCTGGCTCCTACTGAGCAGATCCAAATGTGTGAATGGGCTGGGTTCAGCTCCTGACCTGTCTAAGAAACCTAGAATCTGTTGAGATTCTGACGCAGCAGGATTATGGATGACCTGTAACAAACCATACTCTGTCTCTTCAGGGCGAAAAAGGATAAACCTCCTGTTGTTCTATCCTGGGAACTTGCACCCCCAACGACCTTATACGTGATGTCACGCAATAGAGAGACGAAAGTGTTGATATACAGGCATCAAAAACAGAGACAAGCTCATCCATCATCTGTCCCTTCATGTTCTGCACGGGGGAGGATGGATGGTGTAATTTTTTTCAGGATCTAGTACTTCAACAGCTCTTTGAGAGAATCTGGGCTAAACCGTGTAGACATTATGACCTTTCTATAAACCCACACACTATTGAATCTAACAACCTTTAAATCTCCCACCTACTAAACATATTCCCAGGCATTTTACCCTTTGAACTTTTAGTCACAGATCTTGCTTCTCTGTCAAATTACTGCTCCTACCAGAATTTGTAAAAATATTTTTTTCACTTTGTTGTGCAATACAAGCTAAAGTAATACAACTTCCAACTCATAAGAGTTTGGCATTCTGAATTGCGTGAGTCTTCTTCATCACCATAACCTGTTAAGCCACATCATGAGTGAAGTTATAATAGACCCTGTAAAGGAAAGCCATTGCCATAGAGGGATTATGCTTCAGGGCCATTTTCATATCCTGGTGCAGGAAGGAAAAGCCAGCTTTGAAACATGTAATAATAGTCCTTGACACAGCCTCCACTTTCATCTCAGCCCTCCTCCTCATAACTCATCCAGACCTGGATCACATTCTCTGTAGGAGTATATCAGAGTCCTACGCAAAACATTAGATTGAGCACTGAGACTGCTGATTTAGAGTACTTCCAACACCATGTTAGAAACAGTGGAAGGAGAAAACTGTCTTTAGACATCTTAGACATATATTCACTGATTTAGCAGAGAGTACACAGAGCTCAGGAGCAGCAAAGACCCACGTCCCTGGTGAAAGTAAAGGGGTCATCGTGTTGCCATAATAATACTTGAAGATGCGTTTCATGCACCAGCTACTGAGGGGATCAAATCTATATTTGGGATGATCTCTTTACATGTCATATCTAGGCCATTCTGCTGGCTGATACATAAAGAAAAGGGGTAGTGCAGCTGCTAGAAACATTGCATAATCAAATGAATAAATAAATACAAGGACAATGACAGGGACAAGGACAAAAAGGTCAGGTAGGGAGCAGCAGCCAACCAACAGCCTGGATGAATGTTCTTTCAAGCAGGTGGGGTGGGATCTTGCACATTGTGAGTTGACTAAATGAGAAATACAATCCAATACAAAAAAAATTACACTGTTAAACATAGCAACAGTCATTTGGGATAGGAGTGCAGGCCCCTATTTCAACATGTGTGAAAGTGAGAAGCTCTGATCTAACGGACAGATATGGATGACTCTTGGGAAGATGAAAGAGAAACTACATTGTGCACTAGACAGTATTAGATAGGCTTAACTGAAACCAATTGTTTCATAAGAAAGGTGTCATAATGATAGAGGACCAGGTGGCATACCTCATGTGTCAATGACAGAACTGTAACACCATAACAATAGTTTTTTGTAGATTTCAGTATTTCAGGTGGTGGCTAGTCAACACAATTGAGCAACGGTCTTACAGTTTTTCCCATTGGTCTGTATGAAAATTCATCCTACTGATACTGAGGTGTCACAATGACTCACAATGACCAATCTCAAAAGATTGGCAAATAAAAACACAAGGGAAAGAGGACAGATATGTTTTTTGTAATATTATGTGTACTGATCCTTTACTCAATTCTGTACTGCATCTATCCAGATGTAGTGTAGACCTTCCAACGTGACTCTTCAAATCTCGATCCTAAATTTGTCTTTCATAAAGTTATCGGTTACTATAGACAACTTTACTAATCTATTGACTGAAGACTATTTTTTTGGCATCTAAGTGCTGTTTGGGTGAGCATTTTGGACATTGTGTATAGACGAGTGGGTGTACACACATATTCATTTTTGTCTTACTTGGGATCTCGTGGGCTGTTTGGACGACTGTTGGTGCGGAGTCTGCTCTCTGTTCCACCTGATGGTCGCTCTGGTCCTGAACCTGGGCTTACCCGCCTGATAAAAAAATAAACAAAAACTGTCAAAAACAGAGCAAACCATTCTTTTCAGAACCTTCAGATGAAGCAAAAACAAGCAAGTAATGACCTGAATTGCACACATAATAATACATTTTATAGCCTCTCTGCTTTCTAATTACAAACACATAATTATAAATTTTATAGGTTGTCTGATTTCTAATTACAAACAAAGGATTACAAATAACTCCATCACACACTACACAAAATTTTATGATGAACTTACCAGACACATTTGTCTCACCCTCACACATGCTTCTCTATCTCTCTCCTGTCATGACCTGCCCCCATAGTGACTTTGTTTGGACTCTTTGTTTGGACTTTATGTTTGGACTTTTATTTAACTCCTGTTTAGACTCCCTCATGATTCATTGTGCTTCTGTTAGTTACCCCCTTTTGTGTTCCTGAGCCTTAGTTTTAGAACCTTGGATTTCTAGCCGCTTCGGATCAGATTTTGTTTCACCTACAAAGTTTGTTTTATTTGTCAAATAAATCTTTGAACAGTAGCAGCTCTGCCTCTATTGTCTGCATTTGGGTCCAGACGTTCTGATCCTGACAGTGCAAATTGACCATAATATGGACCCATATTATGTTGGAGTCCCTCTATGGGGACTGGAAGAAAAAAAGACTCCAGGAGAGATGACAGAGAAGCTGCTTGCACATGAGGTGCGTATGAGTGTTGCACATGAGGAGATTTCAAAGAGACCCTAGTTTAAGATTCACTGCCTGGCTAGCTTAAAGACTTTATTAACACCCTGGTGTCCCAATCAGTTCCAGTAGCGGTACCTTCAGCCTACTAGCCTCAAGCCTCATGCTTCCCAGTTGGCTAGCATCATGCCTGTTAGCTTCCAGTCAGCTAATCAACCTGTTCTCCAGTCTGCACCCCTGACAGCCAGCTTCTACTCTTTACCACAGACGGCTAGCCTTCGGCCTGTTAGCCACCGGCCAGCATCTCAGTAAGGGCTCCAGCCCACTAGCCTCCAGCATGCTAACCACCAGCACACAGTGACTCTGGGGATCCTTCACTTACAGCCAGCTCCAGTGGTCAAGGCCTCTGCTAGCTTCCTGTCATTTTCCCAGTCAGGTGGCAGTGAGCCCAAGGCCTCTTTGAACGTCAGCCAAGTCCTTTCCTCCACTTTGTTGAGTTGTTTCTCATTGACTAGTGTGCATCCATTCAGAATGCACTGCCATAATTGTAAAGATTGCAAATAAATATTTATCAGAGTGCCTGCGATGAATGCGCCAGCGTCAAATGTTTCAGATTAAACAGAGAACTGCTCCTCTTCAACAGATACTCCATGCACATCTGCACCAACCAGGCCCCAGATCAGATTTCTTCCAGTCAGGAAGGCTGGTCAGGAAATTTAATAAAACCTCCTGTTCTAATGTTCTCAGATTCCTATCTCAGCTACATCAAACCAAGTCTAAATAATTAGACCTTCATAGTGTTAGCAGAGTTGACTCACTGTATATATCCAGTATGTACAGTAGAGGTAGTTGTCAACAGATTGTCAGATGATATTATTGATTCCTCCTTCAGATTTCAACAAACAGATTGACTGAACATTGGCTTGAAAAACTCGATATTGATAATGATATTGATATTGATATTACACTTTCATACAGTTATGGTTACAGAATCTCTCTCCACCTCCCTTAACTCATAGAGATGAATTTGAATGATAGCAGTATTATTTTTCAATAATATCATTATTACGAATTCATTTGGCCATGATACTTGTGCAGTGAAATTCTGAAAGCCCTAATTTGGAATATGAACACAAGGTCACACGTAACACTGGTATCATACTAGCCAGTGACCCTTTTAGCTTGCTTAGTCACTTCAGATGTACTGTGTACCTTGGCTCATCTGGAGAAGGCTCCTGTGTGAGACCATTGGATTGGGCGGGGCTATGGGCTGGGCTGTTCTCTGGACTGACTTCTTCTTTTGCACCATTTGTTGATGGCAGCTCCAGGCAGGCCCTAACACCCTCCCACTGCTGCGCTGCATTACGGATCGCCAGACGCCGCTTCTCCTTGATGAACACAACACAGACAGATAAGCAGAGGACAGAGACGGTGTCAAGTGACAAGTGTCCTGAGCAGAACACAGGGCACATAAACTAAGCTAATGGAACCTGTCTGTTTTGACCTGGTCAAAGGTAAACCTCCTCCTGGGGTTGCTTGTCTCTAGGATACAAGTGTATGAAAACTACACACTGCTTTTACTATGACCGATATCACACCTCATTAGTTAGATCTGAAATTGTATATGCACTTGTTAGACAAATATATTTGTTTCTGTTACCACAGCAGTTTGATTTAACTGTGGTTTGCTTTTATGATGGGAACACTGGCACCCATCGTGCAAGAGAGAAGATTTGGGTTCCTCTGCTATCTTTCAATTGTTCTTTCCTGGCCAAGCTGCAGTTTAATGATGCTCAGTTATGGAATGTGCCACTCCCCGATGCAGGGGTGAGTCAGTATCAATTCATAGTCAATCCTTTGCCCTCATGAACCCCTGGCTGCGACATTCAATATAACATTTTCTCAACACCAGGGATTAGCAGGAGTTAGGTTACTGAGACACAATGCACAGAAACCATCTCTCAGCAAGACACACTGCAGCACAGACACAGCAGAAGCACATCAATTATGTACTTTCACTCACACACACACAATACTGCAATGACTACTGTTCACTACTGTGAATATCTTAGACCATTTAAAGAAATAAAGCATAATTTACAGACCCATTTACAGATATAGTTCCTCTGTGGACAGTATATTCCTCCCCACACTTACCCCCCTCAATGTTGCCAAAGGGCTTTGTGTTATGTAGAACTGATGTAGATAGATTTGAAAAGTTGAAAGTTCATGTCCTTCAAAACATGTATTTAATGGCCCAATAAAACACAGCCCTAACAACCCCATGACACATAAATTAGAAAACACATGAAAAATGGGGAAAACAAATCCTAAACATGACCTAAATGTTGCAGAGCTTTCTTATCAAATATGTTTTGATGGGTAAGTTGAAAAAAATAGATGCAGATTATTGTTAAAAGTACCATTAAGAGGCCAAAGAGGTTGGTTATTGTCCAAATATACACTTTACCTTACGTGAGCCTGGATACCATAATCATAATGGCCTAATTCTTTAATATGCTGAATATTGCATTCAGCGAATGGGTAAAACACTGTTAATCAGATCTCATCTCTAATGTGTAATATGTGGTACTTTTAAAATGTTAAAAGCTTTGATGTTATCAAAGCTCTGTCTAGTACTTTGAACATTTGCGACTAATTGTCTACTTCCTACCCAGAATAACTAATCGAACAACAAGCAGTTTGTGAAAAAGGGAACTTCAGAGGACACTTGTTAATTTATTGTCTGAGATGTAAGCTACCATTTTGTATTTGTTGTACATTTGATCTCTAAATCCAGGCACACAAAGACAACAAGAACAGATCCGATCAGAGTGGTACCTTATGAATGGTCTGCTTGTGACTCTCCCTCTTCTTCTCCTCCTCTTTTCGAGCTTGTACACCAGCCATGCGCCGATCCTCGTCCTGAAAAAGATAGCTAGAGCAATCAGAGTGCCGCTCCATTCATGAGCTCTGAATTATTCAGGAGAGAGGGGAACCACAAAAGACACCGTCAGAAAGACCATTCTCTACACCAGAACTGGACCACTGTGGAGGCTAGGAGATATTCTCACACCAGCCGGATGCATCACAGGATTATCTGTCTGATTTTCAGTCTGAGATCAACTGAGCCCAGCTGTTGGGGAAAGCCAAAACTCCCAGAATGCAATGCTGCCAACACAATCTGAGTGTGCCAGCTGAGAGCTGGGGGATATTCCGCTGTATGTGACAAGCTAGCAGAGACGATGCTTCAGTCTGATCAATAGAGGCAAAATTCTAGCCTCGCTGAAGTAAAAGCACTGATGTCAGCTAGTGGAGAAAGATTTGAAGGCTAGAGCTGTATGTCACTGAGGAGGACAGTTTGTAATGGGAAAAATTACCACTGTATATGATATTCTGTGAAATTTATCAATATGAGTGCTGTTTTTCAGCAATAATAATGTCTTTGTTTGGGTAGCAGTCTATTAGATTGATTATTTGGCTGTTAATGTTTCAGTCAAATACAATATATCCAATTGAATAATAAAATGAAAACATGTTACAACATATTTAATTTATTTCCTTTAAAATCTAATTATCTATAATATTAGATTTCCCTGTAAATGTGATAGTTATCTTTAATAAATAAGCTCTATTTGCTATTTTGAATTTATTTTCATGTAAATAATACGATCAGAGTGGTATTATGTTTTATTAATCAAAATAAGCCAACTGATAATATCTTGATTCAGCGACAGCTTGTATGTGTGTTGTTTTAACTTCCCTTATTTAGTTTTTGAAATAATCCAAACACATCTGTCACACAGAGTATATCCCCACAGCAATTTACCCCAAAGCAGAACAGTACTACTGTATCTCCTAATTTGCAGTATTAACTCACCACAATTCATAAATAATAGCCAAACTCTCAGCAGTCAAACATAGATTTTATCTCAGATAATCTGATGTCACTTCTACTAACAGTATAGTGCACTGGGGGCAAGGTTTTCCAAATCAGTTGGGAGGGGAAAATCGGGATCTTCAGTGGCTACTATGAAGTTTCCCCCGCAGCAATATCATGACATAGTTTGAAACTCCAGTGCTGGGCTGACATTTGTGTTGTCAAATCAAAACTTTGCATATCCCAAAAGAAAACTTTCTGGAAATAAAACAATAGCCCGGTTTTCAGGATTGACAGCTACAGACAGTAGTTTGTTGAGGGGGATTTAATGGATCATCGGATCATGAAACTTGCTAAACCTGTTGAGGACCACATGTACCTTAAAATTCAAGTAAAAACATGAAAATTGTTGAAATTGGAGTTATGAGTTTTTTTTCACCATATCATCAGCAGTATGTTCTGAGGGCAAGGTGTGTGGTACTTTCAGATTCCTTTAAAGTACAAGCTCAGACCTGGGTGTTCCCTGCTTGACAGCCTCTGAAAGCATACTGATATTTCACTGTAGCGCTTTGCTGGTACAGTGTTTAAATACAATGACTTCATGTTTATGCTTGAGAAAAATCATTGTTTTGTTAGATCAGACATACATTATGTGTAAATGTTTAGCTCATAGTCACAATTTAGTCACTGATGCATTTTAGCCTCTAATACGCAACTAAGAACATGATGAATGCTGCACCAATATCAAAGAACAAAGACTAACGAGTATAGCATCATCAAGATGTACAGGAGCTTGGAGACGCCCCACTGACAGTGAATGGGAGACTGCCTGTGGGTTCATCTGAAGTTTGTCTTGATCTGTGAAATCGTAATAATGTTTGTGTCAACACAGAGTCACCCTCAAGATTCAACATGTAGAGGGCCTTGAGGAACATATACTCAGACGGTGGCTTTAAAGGTTTGGACCATTAATTTAATGTGAACGTCTAATCAAGATTTAGCATATCATGTTAGGTAAACAATATACAGGACCACCAAACTGTCAGCATTCTTATGTGTGATCAAATTTCCTTTGATTCTTTGCTTCCATCAATATTTCTGGATCAACCTGTTATATGTTTGATAATGATATTCACATGATGCCTCCCATTGTAATCATGTGAGTTGCTGTACTTAAAATGCAAAAACACAGGAAAAATATATGAAAGGACTATAAATCAAAAAAAATATAACAGCCATAATTAGCGCCATTTGGCCAGTGGCCAGTTTTCCTCTTGTAAACACACACAGACATAGTTAATCAGTTCACTCTTACTGTGATGCGCTTCATATCCAGCTGTCTCAGATGAAGCACACAGCGCAGGACGGCCTGCTTGTACCATGTCTCCAGGGCTACAGGATTCCCATCCAGGGTGAGCTCAGAAAGGGAGCGCGACTCTCCAAGGCAGGCTAGCTGATCAAAACTAGAAACGAAACGAAGAAAAAACATTTTGAACAACACTAAAAACACTGAACACTTTACAATGATTCAGAGGCATGGTGACCTAAATAAGTATCGGGAAGCTTGAGTCATCCACAGGGTAAGTCAAAAAAGACTAATCCCCCCCATTTATGTTTATCTTCTTGAACCTTTAATCTATGCTTTCAATATATTGACAGAATGAAGCCAAGCTAAAACAAGACATGAAAAACTGGTAATTTCACTGGCACACTGGCAGCCTGACATTACTCAGGGCGCAATGAAGAGAGAAAAAACCGCTACACTGTTGATATCACCCTTTGGCCAAAGGAGACATGAAAAAGCACAGTCATGTTATGTGCAGTGGAGATTCTATCATTGCTAATTTGCGATAATAACCTTGATGAATCATTTGCCTGGAACTACATATGGACCTACAGCACTGCACTGTGCCTGATCCTAGCCAGAAGTCTCTTTGGATGCACAAGAGGGCTCGGCTGGATAATGGTAACCTTGATGAACTATTAAAGCCAGTACAGCCATTAGGGAGCACTATTGAAGCTTTAACAAATGCAAAGCAAAATTTCACAAATCTAATATCAATTGCAGTCATCTGGAAATGGTACTAATTTGAAAAATCTGAACAAGTCGAACTTTTTTTTCTTCTTATCTTAGAATGACAGTAGTTACAGCCACTCTTCTGCCCTGGAATGTAGTGAGGAAATACTGGAGGTCTGTGGCCTTCTATTACATTATATACAAAAATAATGAGGGGGGTTTTCACAGTGATTACTTGAGATCCCAGTGGTGTTTAACTACATCTCATACATTTTGCATAAATATTGCATTCATAATCATAGTCACATTCCCTCTTGGGTATCGTTACTACAACAAAACTGATCAATAATAGTGGCAGTAATGAAACATCTCTGTGTACCTGTCCCTGGATCCCTGGAGGTATGTATAGTGAAGATCAAAAATATACAGTATGTGTGCTGTGTGTGCAGAGTGGGGTGTGGCTGAAAACTGGGTAGCTTCCAACTTCATCTATAGTAGCACTTCAGTCCATGCACGTTTCTTTACTGACTTCTTATCATTAGTTCTGCTTTGCTTGTATTTCACAAGGTGTTCAACTTAACTTAATAATATGGTAAGTGAAATTAATAATTGCAAAAATTCATGATTTTTTACTCCAACATCTTCTAATGAGCAAACTGACTGCACCAAGTAGACAAGTGTGGTCTGTCCCTCTACCTAGCAACAGAGCACAACTGTTTCTCCTATCAGCATTGAACAGTTTCAAAAAGGTACACGACCCAGCTTTCTATACAGCCATTATAACCATATATTCAAGAGAGCATCTTTTATTAAAATACCTTTACTAAAAGTAGAATAATAAAGGAATGAAAGAATACAAACTGATTATTTGTTGCCTATTTCTTTGTCATGATTCTCTCTATAACAGTGTGTCAGATACCAAATCATACAGACACTAGAACAGCAGGGCTGGTTTGAAACGTCAGGTCAGATCTATCACAGCACAAGGTGACTATCGTCAGGGAGGCTAATGAACACTGTCCCACCCTGAATCCTGCATACAGGCCTCACCTCCAGGCAAACACCAAGCAATTTTAAAGCTTTCTAAGGCTATGCTGCTTTAACAAGTTAACTCTATGATATCTTGATGGCCAGGCTCAGAGGGAGAGAAGCAAAGAGAAAAAAAGGAGTACACATACTGGAAAAAGTGTGTAAAGCACGTTGATGTTTGCACTAAGCAACAAAACACACCTCTCATTCATCCTACACACCCTTACCTAGCAATGCTGCTCCTGAATTCACTAAACCATCATCACCCTGTCATTAGTTTTTTGTGGAAGTGAACTACCTTCTCTCAGCCGGCTTCTCTGTTATCTGCATAACTTTAAAGAATTGTCACACCCATTTCTTAGGTAACAGCATGCTAATTACCGACAATAAAGAACACATCCAGGTTTATGTTTTCTAGGTTACAGAAACTGCTCACTACAACAAATCTGTGTGTGGCTGTGCATGTTTATGGGTGTTCCGCCTGCAGCTCGTTGGCCAGGCCCTGCCAGGGGCCAAGGGAGGGGACGTGGCACTGTCCAGCCACTATCCCTGTCCCTGCCTCCCTGTGGGCAGGAGGGAGTTAAGCGGTGCAAGCTCTTACCTGGTGATGTTGTTGCAGCTGAGAAAGAGGCGCTGCAAGCAGGGCAGGCGGTCCACCTCAGTCTAGAAAGAGAAAGAGAAAGAGGGAGAGGGAAGAGAGAGAGATGGAGGGATGTGAAGAGGAGAAGGTGGTCGGGAAGAGGGCACTGCATCGTCACTGTCGTCAGAGCTCTGTATCCCTCTCCATTCCCTCAGTCACCTTGCAGCTCTCAGCTCCAACATACAGCATCCCCATCCACCCTGCGCATGCACACACACACATACAGCACGCTGCCTTGTCTGCACATGGAGAGGAGGGGCAGGAGAGAGAGAGTGTGAGAGAGAAGGCATGAGGAGGAAAGGGGGAGGGGAGGGAGAGCAGAGTGTATGCTGCGCTAATGCAGAGATCCCCTGCTGCAGGAGGCTGACTCAAAATGCTCACTGGAACACATACATCCAGACTCACACACACTGAGCAGTTAGCTACTGTACCTTGTAATGCAAGAACAATAGCTTGGATGAAATGAAAACTGACTGGGATGGGGTTGTTTCTTTGTAGGCAGGCACAGATATCGAAATCAATGCAGAATTTAGTGAGGGGGTGGGGTAAAGAGCAGCAGCTGGCCAGTTGGCCAGCTGGCAAGCTGGAGAGGACACACATGGATGTAGGCAATGTCACAACCCCAATGACTTCAGCTGATCAGATGGCAGTGTGGGGGAAATCACATTCAGTAGTGTCACGGTCTGTGTGTCTGAGAGTATGGTCAGTGTTGCACATGCTGGAACTAAAGTGGACACGCCCAGCAGCAGTCTGAATGAGCTGCGTCAGCGGCCGCCCATATTGCAGCCACCGCCCCACAGCCTCGCTCAGCACTGTTGCCAGTCTTCATTCAAATGAGATCTTAGCTTAGCATTTAGGCTATGCTAGCTTATCTGCAGAGAACGGTGCCACAATGTGCTACACAGTCTTAATATTTTTAAAAAAAATTCCACAACCCCTGTCCACACAACCATATAAATACAGTGCACAGTTACCCATCCTTGTTTTATCGATTCCAACAGCCAACATGCTGACTATAGTACATGAGACATCATGAGCATTGCCGGAGAGAACCTTTGTCTGTTGTGTTTTGTGTTTGGCTGCTGTGTTACATCATTTGACACTTGATCTGTGGAATTAATGTAATGAAATAATATTACCTGTGAAAAATGTATATATTAGTTTAATCTAATGTCTAACAACAAGTTAGAATACAATGAGTTATCTGTCATATTTCAGTGAATATTCAGCCTCAACATTACAGGACTTGTGTGATGCTTTGAGAAAAACATGTATTAACCTTGTGTGTGAGAATTAGATGACAAAACTGATGCCACTTTCATGTCTGCACAGTAAATGTGAAGCTACTGCTGGTATCCAGTTACCTTACCTTACAAAGAGTGGGAACAGCTAGCATGGCATTGTCCAAAGCTAACAAAAGCTACATAGCATGTTTAAAGCTCTGTATTTAACACATTATAGCCAAATGTTGAGGCTGAACAGTCAGTCATATAACCACTAACAAAGGAAACGTGTCTCAGCTTTAGATTGTTGATGTTTTGTGTGTATCTGCAATACAGGGCTGTGTTCTTTCCTTCTTTAAAAAAACTGCAAGTCACGCCATCCAGTGCTAGCTAATACTGACCCTCCACCACACTCCCAGAGTTTCTGTCTCTGCCAGCCACTGTATGGATGCTGGTGAAGCAGCACGCTGTCTGAGACTAAATATAGCAGCCCATCTCAGACAGGATGATGTCATCACTGAGCTGATGTGCTGCATAACAATCGGCCACCAATGTCGTGTCTTTTTCAAAGAACCTGATTGATCAGATCCAATCAGCGAACAGGATCTGATGTGCGATTGGGTACAGCTTTGTTGCTGTGTGTCTGAGTGTGTGCTTGTTTGCCTGCTGGGGTGTATTTATGTGTCTGTGTGCCCGTGCCTTCACCTCTTTATCCCAGCTCCACCCTCTTCTCACTGACAGCTTGCGTGTTTTTATTTTTCACACTCCTTCTGAGCTTTGACAGGGGCATTACTCCACAAACACAGGACTACCTCTCACCACCATTGTCTGTGTTGCATGCAACAACACACCCCACAAAATGGCATGAAAGCTGCTCAAATAAACACACATACATGTAGATGCTGAGAGGGTTTCAAAGATTGTAAGCTGTTGGGTTTGTGGCTGCTCTGTGAATAGCACAGACTTGAGATGTGAGTTAAGCTGGCACACATCTGGCCTCCGGTATTATGTGCTAGAATGCAGATGCTGTTGTGTGAACACTGTAGTGTTGGTCTTGTTCTACACTTCACAGGGATCAGCTGTCAACCAAAATGTTTTGTCAGAAATGTGATTTTTTTTTCTTGGATTTTTAGTTGTAGAAGTTTGAGTTTCTCTTTGTAACAACAATGTTTTGGCCTTAAAGGTCATATTTTGTAAACTTGGAATTACTCACTATTGCTGTTACTCTACTTCAGACATAACTCAATTATTTTCCAAAGAACTTTGGGACACCACGTTCGTTCATCCACATAGATCCTCTCAGACGCAAGAGCATGTAAAAAGTAGAACAGATCTCACACACAGACACACACACAGACACACTGTACTGAACTAATTAATTGACAGCAGAACTACACCTTCTATTCTGATGTTGCTTGACTCAATACTGACCCACAAGAAGTCAAGCCCAATGGAAAAAAAACTGTGCAAACTGCTAATCCATAGAGTCGGTCACCATCTGGGTGATGCCTTTTTACTTTATCTGTTTTATCACTGCTCATGCAGACTACCTCACTGTTCCAACTGTTCCTGGTGCCAAAAACGACTGCCTGTCACGGATTTCTCAACAGGAAGACCCACCTGAGAGCAAGGGTAAACAATAAACATCTTCAGAAATGCTTATCGGATTAATCATCACTGAGTGATTGTGTTGCAAGCATTGGAGTGTAACAAAGCTGTCATGTATATGAAAATATAATGGATTTAAGTAGAAATCACTTCACAACTATAAAAAAATGAGTATGAAAAACAGCCTCTGGAACAAAACAGTGTGATGACACAGGTTAACTGAAATATGTTTACAAAAAGTATTTAGATGCATTACATAATGACCCTAAGTATACATCATGTAATTATTAGTCTAATTATTTGTACAAGTATTACATGTATTATAGTATGCAAATGCAACAAGTGTTCAGATGTGTCAAAAAACTGTACATGTACACCTGTTTAAAATGTCCTTTTGAACATACTATATCCATATATAACATGCTTGTATGTATTGGATAACTGGGCCCAACATATAACCAAGTCTAAAACTTGTTTTCAAAGTCAATGACAGCATTTCTTTCTCAGTCCACTTTTCATTTGCCTCTCCTTTCATAAAAGGGGAAAACCTGGACAAAACCTGGTTATTTACTTTGTGCTTGATGTAAGCACTTGGCAGCAAATACCACTAATGACAGAGACTGGAGAATCTGCTGAGGGGAAGCATTTTTCCTCTCGTGTAACAAACAAAACATTACATCCAATAATTAGAACTGGAAGTGGTTCTTGATCAGAACTTGCAGGCAGAGGACAGGGTGAGTGATGGGAAGAGGTTTCATGCAACACAATGTTGGATTCAGTTCGTATTTTCTACCCCAAAAAGCAGGAAAGGGCTTAGGGGATTTGCATACAAATGAAGGGGCCTGTTTTGGCATGCACTGTTCTGTTTATCAGATTTAAACTATAGAAACCAAGGGGAGTGAATTTCCGTGTTTAGAATATCCAGTTTCTTTTTATCTGCGCCAGAAAGTCGGTGGGTGGTTGTGGGTAATGAGCTGCGTCTCCCTAGGTAACGCCAATGAGATACATTTCACCATAGACTTTCTTACAAAGATTCTATTGATGTAATTCCTGTGTTTATTATTTTGTGACAGTAAAAACTGCTGCATGTGATCCCGTAATGGAGGAAACAGTAACCATCCAAAGGACCTGGTCCAAAGGAATGGCATGAAGATGAAAGATGAAGCACACCACCAGCACCTTTATCCTGTGAGGAACGGTATGTGTGTGTGGTCGTTTGTTCATCAAAATGCAAAAAAATACAGAAAATTTATCACTGGCAGCTGCAAGACCTTCACAGGTAAAGGAGCTATTATACACCTGAGATGAACACCAACCCAGCTCTTAAAATCCACAGGGCAACTGTACTGTTTACAATCTGGGACCATGTTTGAATTATTACAACACTGACTCAATACATGTGTAGGATGCATATATGCAGTATAAGATGTACAGATCAGATACAGCTGCCTCAGTGCATATCATCAGACCTCTGCAAAAATATACTTAAATCCTGCAGTGGTAGCAGCCAAAACAAAAGTTTTCAAGTCTGTATCTCCTGTATCCTGCAAATATCTTTTTTGCTTCTACTACTTACTGGGGTGTCTTGTAACACGTGTTCATAATATTTCTAACTCCTGCTTGCACTTCCAAGTGCGAGAAAATAGAAGCCCCACAGAGGGAAAGGGCAGAAAATGAGACAGTGTTCACTGAACAGTTGGTGCCTTTTTCTTTGTGTGACTGTGTAGTAGCTGTCAGTAATTGGGAAAGAGGCCCCTTACCACAAAAGATATGCAGTTGTGCCTCAGGTTGAGGTCAGTCAAACAGTACAGCCTCTGCAGATTTTCTACTCTGGAGATGTTGTTTCCTGCCAGGTTCAACACCCGCAACTCACTCAGGTGAGACACGTTTTCTATCCTGCAGATCTGCATGAAAGCACAGTGAGACAGAGACAGAGCTTAACATAGAGTTATGTCAAACAGCAATCTAGATAATCATATTCTACATACAGAGTGACGCAGAGAGAGGCAGGACTAGCAGAGCATAACACACTTGAATTGTCTACAGTCAGTGCTCAATCTCACATTCAAGTCATGTATTTAAATGTCATTGGATAAAATCTATTCAGAATTCTTTGGTCTGCACACAGCTTAATGTTGTGGGGTGAATGAAACCCCAAAAGCAGTGTTCTCCATTTTCTTTGCAATGCCTGAGGCTAATCCGTCAGGTTATTGACACTAAAACAGAAAGGACACTTCCATTCGTCTCACATACGTCAAGTGAACCATTTCACAGCAACTATCTTTATGACAAGTGAGCATGTTGAATGACTGACTATTCAGTAAATTACATCAAGGCCTGACTTCTGTTTGACTTCTCAAATCACAATGACAAACAAGTAGCTAAGGGTCAGTCAGATGAGAAATCTTACCCTGCTTTCTCCCCCTGTCTCTCTGGGAGAGATTACTCAGGGGCCTCTGTCATACTGACACTTGACATACTTCAGAAGAATTCCCAGTGGCTGTTACCATGAGAATGATGTGTTTGCCCCCTACAATGTACACTGTACATGTGAAGGTAAGTTCAAAAGGACATCAGGGTTTCAAGGATTCTTTCAAAATACAATACTCTTTACCTCTGCAGCTCAAATGTCAAACAGGTCAAACAGAATAGAATTTTGCTAAGAATAAAATAATGACATCTTGAAATTAGAAACAAAGATACAGATAAGCAGCAACATGGCTTTTAGGGTACAGGTACACAGACACATATGATTGTGTATCATCAGTAAAGATATTTATGTCTCCTCCCTTCCCGGTAAACGCAAAATCTTTCAAAGTTGTAGTAGAAGTAGGAGTAGTTTGTAACGGAGGCTTTCTGTTAATTAAAATTTGTAGCTGCTAAGTCAATTGCAAGATTTCTCAAAAGAGCTGGTTAAGTGTTTATACATCCGCAGTACTGTGTGTGACTGGTAAATTGAATTTCACATTTAAAATCAGTGGAGCACCACCATTACCTTTCTCATGTTGTCACTGTCTGCAGTGGTGAGAAGTCTACAGCAGTAATGCAAACTATGTGTGGCTCTGGTTTAATGCATGAAAAAACAAACATATGTTACATAGGATCCCTTTCACCCCCTCCATCAGTTCTTCCAGCTACTGCCATCAGGCCATCACTATAAGGTACCTGTCAAGAGGAACACCTTTAAAATGTCCTTCATCCCCTTAGACATTAATGTCCTGAATAAATCACAATAGGCACGTACAGATGTTCACACCTATAAGTTTTTAACTTTTAACAGTACTTATGTTAGCATTCATAACTTATGTTCATTGTGATGTTTTTCACTGTCAGCTAGGACAGGTGCAATCAATATTTCTCTAATGCACAATATGACGAGTGTCTCCAACTCGAGCAAATTCAGTTGCGTGTTGTATTATAACTCAACACATAGATTGTTGTCAATTTATTATTTAAAAAACTGTATGGATACCAACTCTAACTAAAGAAGTTTCTGTCCAAAGTGTAATGACATTGTGTGCACATATGCAGATTGTAGCACTGTTTAAAAAAACATAACAATGAACCCGGTGCATCAAGTTCACTCCAAAAACCATAATAACACAGTCTCTTCTAGTGCTGGATGCAACAGAATGAGATCATCATGCTGCATTCAAAGGCTTTACAATAGTTGTGTTATGGTGTCACTGGGGTGAATACCCTCAATCAACACACAATCAGGACATGACATGACATGACCCACACCTGAAAATATTAACACACTCTCACAAAGTTAATGCACTCTCACAAAGTTAACATTATCTAAGCCCCAGACTGGGGCATCGTTGACCTACACAGGACCGGCGTCTGTATCTCAAACTTCTGTCAACACACAGACACAGTATCTCTACATAAACTGAAGCAGATTTTGGATAACCTTTTTTGAAAATATTTGAGGATCTTGTGTTACACATCATGAATTAGGTGCTTTCCAATGGTGTAGGTCAGGCATTCAGAATATGATATGGTAAGGTGGTTCAAATGTTGGATATGTGTAAGATTTAATTCTAATAAACACTTGAAATATGTGAGTAGCAATTATATTTGGATTTGAGTGTAGAGGATTGCTGTTGTGTGTACAGTATTTGTTAAACATTAGTAGAAAAGTCTTTAAAATGTGAATAAAAAATGAGAAAAATTGGTTTTCCAACAATGTCAGATCACAGTGTAGCCCCACTGCTTGATCACTCAGACCGAGTGTGAGATGGATGCACACTCCCAAAGAGAATATCTCATTTTGAATAGCATCCTGTTACAGAAGTAAATGGGTGGAAAGATAGAGAAAAAAGGTCGGGAGTGATGTGAGCCACCCTGCTAGAGGATGGGAAAAAGAAAGGATGACAGTGATGTACAACTTGTGGTTAAAGCATGCACACAAAAGGAAAGAGGACAAGCAGCTGGTGTTCTTTGGCCAATAGTGACTAAATTATAACCTGACTGGGTAGAATAACCATGACTTCAACATTATTTTAATTCATTCATCTATTATTTCCCTCACTGAATTCATTCTCTTCATCATCTTGTATTATCATTGTGCAGTGTTTCACATAACATTTGGGTGGTCAGGTCTCTGGTGAGTTTGGAAAACGTTGAATAAAGGCAATTGAACAGTTATTTAAGTGCATAAAACAGGAGGTTTTGAGGTCAGTGACTGAAAAGCAACCTGTCCTGGTTGGAATAATAGCTTTATCATCTGCTCCTCAACAGGCACCTGCCAACAAATGGCTACCTATCAATACAATGTGCTCTCATTACCAGCAAGGAGAGTGCAAAAGATTATATTTATTACTTCATTCTAAAGTCATTACCTTTAATTGTCAAATTATCAAAACTGTTTAAATTAACTATTTAATGTAGGAAACACAGCCAATGGATAGAGCTGAAGGCAACGAAGTATCTTCTGTCAGGAAAAATAACCTAACATTGTAGCAGTCATTGAATAGTAATTGCGACGCCTGCTCATGTAAAGAGCAGCCAACATTAAAGAGGGAGGGAGTCTTACCAGGGCTCTGGAGTAGCTCTCTGAGGACAGGCGTGGGCGGCATGCTGGCAAAACACTAATTTGACCAAGGGAAGCCTTTCTATTCTTTCTTCCTTTTCCAAGAGCTGCTAAAATCCCCATCTGACATCAGCATTACTTACATCATTTGATTATTCTGGCTTTTAATATCAGTGAGACAGGCTCTACTGCGGAGGCTGAGCAAACAGTCCCCAATAATACATTTAGACTGAAATTGATTGCAGAATAGTGTAATCTGCTACAGCTCAAAACCATTGCCAGTGCTGAAACACCTGTCTATATAATGCAATACAAATCAACAGCACCACAAACTGCAGCCTCCAAAACTAACAAAGTTGAATCAACACCTCTCTGAAACAATTTCAACCAAAACTGAACATAATAACCATCATGAAGGGACGGTTTATTGCAGGATTGCTGTGTCAGTCTGCATTAGTTTTAGCTCTGTGTACCTATAAACTGTCAACGGAGTGTAGAAAGAGTTGTGCCTGTTGAATAAATTATGCTAGGGTCAATTAGGAAACGGCTGTGAGAGTAGACCCTAGATAAGAGCTTGTGGGTTCTGATGGTTTTCAGTCTTTTGTTCTCTAAAAGTGCCGTGAACTAAATTAAACGTCCCTAAAAACTAAGGTAGATAAAAGGAGGATCATAATGCCCATCAGAGTTCTGGCTTAAATAACACATTGCAACACCAAAAGGAGAAGGATTCCTAGACATGACCTATTTGTTCCTAACAGGGTTTAGGACACTCAATATACAAAATAGTGCTGCACTATTTCAAATGTTTGATGGTAACAAGGGGACAATTTGGTTATAATGACTGCACTGAATAGGCTTCGTTTTATAGGTCAGTGAACTAAGATAAAGGGTTTAGAATGAGCATGACTACATAAATTCTCTTCTTGGTGTCCTGCTGTCATGTCTGTATAACTCTTTTATATTAAGCGAGCTGTCTCTCACATAGCAAACCACTAGTAATCAACACTGTGGAGGAGGTGGAAGAGACAATCCACTTCTACAAAACTTTGCAGCTGAATATCATGTATATCGATTACAGTAATGGCAACTAAACAAACAAGACTAAACACACACATAGAAGTATGGTAAAGGAACGGTACCTGATTGTCATGCAGATCTAGGATATTCAGTTTGGACAGGTTTCCCAGGCAGTAAATCTTCTGGATTCTGAGAATATAAGGAGGAAGTGACATAAAATGGAAATTATTACATAAAATGTGCATGAAATACAATTTGTCACAGATCATGTCAACAATCTATAACACATTTTAGCTTTCTCGACTGTACCAGGTGCAGTTGCCTGGCGGGGTTGGGGGGTGGGGGTGTTTTGAATGGATATCAAGCAAAGGACAGCGTATTGAAAGGTTGCATTCCCCGAGGAAACTGAACATACAGTAGTGTACAGTGACTTATTGTTCAGGACTGTCCATATGGATTTAGATCAAATTACAGTTCAGGATGAAAGGCTGCAGTCTCTTCAAAAATGCCATGTATGAAGAGTATGAAGAGTATGAAGAGTATGAAGAGTATTCTTTACTCTTCAGGAACTACACAGATGGCCCTGGAGGAAAGTCTGAAAAGAAAAGCATGATGTTTTATAGAAAGTGGAACAAATGCTGGAGTCTAACTGTAAGATCTTGATGTCATTCACTGTTATTTGTGACTTTAAATCTTTTTGAGACCTTTTGAAACAAAGCCAACACTGAAATAAGGGCACATGCTGGAAAACACTCTCTGAGGATTACAATGTAGCAGCAGAAAGGTTATAAAACACTCAAATGCAACAGGATATCTTGAATAACCTACAAGCAACATTTACACTACATCAGGATATAACTGGACCATCTTGTACATTTTTTTTTGTATGTAAGAAATATGTAAAAGGTCTCCTTTAAATATGTTACAGAAAAAAACAATAAAGCATGTGATGTCTCTAGACTATCACCTACTCTACAGCTTATGTGATACTACTACAAATATAAACTGCACAACACAACCTACTACATGTAACAGAGGCATTTCAGACAAATATGACATATTCTTTTATGTGCCTGCTTGTCACTCCTGTGATGATAACTAACCTGTTCTTCCCGAGCATAAGAATCCTAAGAGAGCTTAGAGCTTCAATACCAGTCATTTCAGAGATGTGATTGTCATACAAGTTCAGGAAAACAAGCTGTTGCATTTGTGACAAATGCTGGATCCTTGTGATTAGATTGTGCTGGAGGTTGAGAAGTTGCAGGTCTTCCATAAATGCCAGCTGGGGGCATTCCTCCAGACAGCGCCTGGAAAAAAAACATTTAGCACAATTTAGGCTTCATATGGATTACTGCTTCATTTTCATGACAAAAGAACAATATTTCACCTTCAAGCCATGAAGTTTAGTAATGCATGTTACTGATTTTGTGTTGACTGACAATATGTCACTGTATATATTGACTGACTTACTTCTGAACTATCACCAGTAAAGTAACTAGAGCGAAACCAGTCAGCAAACACTGATCGCTAGAAACAAAGTGTGGATATTTTAAGGGACTTTGCTGCTCCCTGGTGGCAACCTGACGTATTAGCCATTTTAGTTGAAAGTCTTATGATCTCTAGTGCAAATACTGTTAATGGACGGACTGAGTTCATAACACTAACAAAACTTCATGATATAGGATGACATAAGAATACGAAAGATACTGCAAGTAAAGATACACAGAACTGCAATTAAACATGGCAGGTCAATCATGTGTCGAGTTTAGCAACTTCCAGCTAAACCAATATGTTCTATGCTACTAAAGCTAAATCTGTTATTCTGTTAGAAAATAAATAACAGGCCAGAGGTACCTGTCCAAGTCAAATCGTTGAAAATTGGATGCAAAACTGTCACAAGGCAATCGAGTGAATGGAAAATCAGGGACCGCGTTGTAACGATATCCTCCAGAACCACCTGACACAGTGAATTCAAGGTACATATAATGCCACACTGCATTGCAGAAGAATCTGTGCACTGTAAAATTTCATATCAGGAATAAAGCAGTTTCCCAATTCCATAATATAATATCATTTGTTAAGTGATGTTGCCATATTTACCTGCTGCCTTGGGATGGTTAAAGACATTGCGGTAGTAAGCGGCCGTTGCATTCTGCATTGGTCTCTTAGATTTGTCTCTTGCTTCTTGTGCAGCATGTGAATCCATAGCCAAACCACTCTGAGTACCACCTGCTAGTGATACTAGATTGTGTGCAGGACAATCTGTAGAGTCACTGGCAAATGATGGCACCGGAGGTGTCTGGACAAATCTTCTCTGGCTGAATGCATGCAACCTGTTTTCTACAAAGGAAATAGTATGGTAAAACAAATGGTGCAAACACTTCATAATATTATTTACATACCTTAGCCATTCATTAATATACAATATAATGCTGAATCACACAAAAACCTCTTGGGCAGTTTGTGGGTGGGTGATTGTGCAAATGTGTGGACTGGATCAAGCTTACCTGGGTTAGAATGATTTATGGTCTGGGCAGAAGTCATGTTTGTTTCTTTTACAATATCTTGAGACTCAGACTGTAAAATGGTAAAAACATGATAATGAAGCACACTCTGGAAACCGTAAGCAATTACCCACAAGGGCTTAGTCTTCAATGTATTCTACGTCATGACTCACCATCCTCTGGGCTCTCTCTGGTACAATTGATTTGACATTTGTAAGGTGCAGCTTGCAGCTGTTGACCTGCAGAAATATTTTATCAGTTGCATTAGATAAAAGAAACAGACACCGCTAGGCTACAAACTTCAGCTAACGATAACTGATCATTTTCTCTGCAGAATCTGAGGCCGACATAGCATAAATACCGTGAAACAATGGTAAAAGTCTATTATGAGAAATACTTACCATAGGGGCGAGGAACATATTATCATTGACCCCGGTGTTATGTTTATGAAAGCGTATCGTTTTGCCCACAGTCCGCTCCATTTAGCTAACGTTTGCTAGAGTTAAAAGTGAAGACCAACCTTGGACGTAGAAAAAAAAGCTCTATTTCAGTGTCAGTACCAACTTCATGAAATTTCAAAACAGACACGCGAACTCATTTGCAACTGTTTTGGTGGAGCTTAGATTTGTTGCTCGAAAAACCATGTTCCATGTTCACTTCCGTCAGGTGCTACAAACTTCCTCGGAGACAAGCACTGTTACCATGGTAACGACGGCGTTGCTGGGTTACGCTCACTTCCGGTGTCACTAAAAAGCAATCCGTAAGGAAACAAGTCCTAAAATTGTCACTGTCGCAAAAGTGGGTTCTATTCTTGTTTTGCAACCTTTAATAGTTGAATAGTTGAGTGTGGTACTTCCTTGTAGAAGAGCCATGCGTGAAAATGTACTGTTATACATATATATATATATAAAACTGTATTATTTTAGTTTATATTGTGTTTATATTGTGTGATACATTTGTCTTAAGTGAAATTACCATGAAAATGTTAATAACACCATAAGAGTGGTGTCCCAGAATAGTAGAACTGGTCGGCTTCTGGCTCTTTAAGTGGCCATATGAACTCTGCTGTACAGTCTGTACTTGACAGGGTACATATAACATACAGAGAGAGAGCAGAACAGGGGCCAGCAAGGGTGCATAGGTCATATGAACACCAGGGCCCCCTGTCAGGTTAAGCAGACCATGTTTATAAGTCTTGCTGTCATTTTACATTACACTTAAAATTACTCTGGCTTAAAAAGGTCAAGTGCAAATTACACATAATAGCAGAGTATTGCATGGTCTTTTTCCATCATCATTCTAAACATAATTAAAACAAAACATTTTCAAAAGAAAATTACTTGTGCCTGCACCTGTGAGGGCTTGTTCTCTGCATCTGTTTTGTATTCCAGATAAAACTGATATAACACTGTGGAAAGAGAATGCTGTGATAATGACCACAAGAACATTATGATTACAGACTTTACTTTTCACAGAGGACATCTTGTCATTACAGGAAAAGGTACAGGTGCAACAAATATCACTAATGATGGTGCTCTTCCAGATAGGTGTGTCAGTAAGCCATGGCAGTGAGTCACTTGCATCAGATATCAGTTTATTTTTTTGCTGACTCATACCTGTCATTAGCCTCTTGTTCTCTATATCCCTTCAATGTACCCGGACTAAATTTCTTGGTGCATTTAAATGTAGATTAATCTGAAGATCTCCATAGATGTTAGACTGCAGACCAATAATCTTCAGTGTGGTCATCATGGATTACACACTATGTGTACTATGAATTAATGACCTTACATTAAAAGAAATAGACCATTCTCACATTCTCTGGGCTTTGTTTTGTGGAATTCATTAGATTCATTAGATTTGATGAATTCTTTGGCATGTTGTCAATAAGTAACATTTTGGACTCTGTCTTTTTCCACAGGTTGGTGATCTTTCATTGCTCTATTTACAATAAAACCCAGGTGACATTCAATCTCAGTCAGTAACACCACAGAACACCAAGTGTGATCTAACAGATTGTGTAGTGTATTTTCAGCCCTTTTACTCTGGCAGTAATAAGCAGTTGCTCAGAGAACACAAGTCCAGATTCATCAAAGGGACATCCCACACACTGCCTGTCATAATCTATTCATGAAGCAAAGCATAGCCACATATGGGAGGTGATCATCAACCATTTGTGTGACAGGCCACATTGAAAAAGTACAATGTAAATTCCAGTTGTGTATAGATCTATAAGTCCATGTAGCTTTGCTTCCCAGAAGAAACACAGACAAAGAGGCAATAAATGGTGTTATTTCTGGATATGTCGTATTTTATCTGTATCTTATGTGTCCCTGCTTTAGTCTATGGTGTGCATTTCTTCATTATTTCATCCTACTTAAAGTATTCTCACCATTTAGAAAGATCATCTGTCCTTTTAAGCCATCACTATAAATAAATGTTTGCTTCTCATTTCATTTACCACATTACAATATATTTTTTCTTAGTAGATTAGACCCAGCGGTATCAAGGATCTGTCACAGAGATGAATACATGCAGGAGTGGAAATGAGATCAATGTCATTTATTCTTAAAAATTGGTAACGTGGACCAGTAAAATACACCTTTAGTCTGACATACAACAAAACAAAAAATGATACTGTTGTAATGTTGTACTGTTGTTGAAAGAACAGACACTGGGTTTTTTATAGTAAAAATGCAAAAATGAACATGGTGTAAATGTGGCAGCAGTACTGATTTGTTGGCAGCAGCACAGCATGACCGTAGCGTTGACTGGCAGAGGACATGTAGATGTGGGAATAGGGACACCATTTGTAAAAATATCATCATGTTAGAAAATTTGAAAGTGTAATTATGATGATAGATGATGTACATACTGTAGATCTGCTGCTTTCTGCCATCTGGTAGGGTGTCTGTGTGTGTGTTTGTGAGAGAGAGAGCACACTCCGGATTTTCCTGTCAGTCAATCCATTTATGAGAGCATTTTTGTTTTTGTTTATCCACAGGAAAGATTTCTGCCCCGTCACAGTCAGAGGGAAAAAAAGATTACTTGACAACGACGGGTTAATGAGTTCAAGCTTTAACTCATTATCCATGACACACTCTGTGCGTAAGAGTGATTAAAGCTGGGAGAAAGCAGCATGGTTGCAGCACTGTTTTCAGTGTAACATTCAGCACAAAATAAAAGAAAGAAATGTACTTGACTTTATAATATTAATGCAAGATCTCTCTTTAGTCAAAATGTATGATAATTGCAAATTCACATCCCCAAACACAATTTGTAGTGTTGGCTGCAAGAGATGGGGGTTGCAAACATTTTCTCACAGGGTTACAACCAACCATCCCCCATTTCTGCAATATTCCTCAAACATAGAAACAGACAGGAGTGGGGAAGCAGATGGGCTGCCAAGGCCTCCTTCATCTGCCAGCTCACATCGTACAAATTCAAGCTTTGCAAAGACAAAGAGAGAGGGACTTCTGTGAAAGAAAAAAAAACAATTACTGGTTTAAGTGACGTTCAGTATGCAAAAATTTAAATTGTTAAAATATCATGTAGAATCTTCACAATGTGGGCCACATGTCAGCAAATTTCCTTGTTGTTAGCCACAACCACTTTAACGACAATTACTGCAACTACGCAAGTGGTTAGACAAGCTTTTACAATGGCAGTCTTTCTATCTTACATCTATACATGCTACCTCAAAGGGAACTGGATATGCTGTTTATCCAAGAGGCTACTTTGGTTCTATGGAGTGGTGGCAGGTGAGTTCCTCGCACTCAAGACCTCTGCTGACCTCAGAAATACTGATGTCATGTTAAACTAGTTCTTTTCAAAGTGAGTCCATTCCCATGCTACCAGTTGGAAGTCAGGTTTGCAGATCTTTGAGGCTGTATTTAGGCAAAGCAATGCCTTGAGTTAAATGCTAACATCAGTATGCTATCATGCTCACAATGAATGACAACGCTAAACACGCTGATGTAAATGGCAAACCGTGACCAGAAATTTCACCCAAAACCACAAACGTCAACGTTATCCTTGAAGAGGCAATTAAGAGATATTTCAGCTTGAGGTACACCTAGTTAAATTTAACCCAATTCAATAAAACAGCCCTGTTATACAACCTGTCTTCATGAAGCTCATCTTGTGAGCATCTCGTGTTGATTATAGGGGAAATTTGTGGTGCTGATGAATTGTATTGTGTTATATTGAAAGTAGCTGTTTGTTGATGTTGTGCACACACTGTGAATGGAAAAAACAAATGGTTGACAGAGGACGGGGGAGGATATTTATGCCAAACCGGGGCGACAATTTGCCTGAAAAGAGGAAGTGGCTCAGAACAACCACTCACAGGTGCTTACAGTGCCATCCTGCAGTCGCTTCCTGGACAGTGTCACACCAACTTTAATCCTAATTCTGTTGGTTCTGGATTTGTTTCCAGAAATGCTGGTGAATTTAACGAAGCAAAGCAGAATAATGAGTGAGAGTTGATTGTAGAAAAATGTTTATTTACATTGGGAACAGTTTAAATGACCCTGCTGACAGACTCTGTCACTTGTTCTGAGAAAATAAGTCCTCAATAAGAAACTAAATGCCTTCAGATTATTTGTTGGTAAAACTCCTCCTTACCCCCTCTCCTCCCTCTTTTCTCTCACACATTGTCTCCCATTGTACACAAACTGGAGCACTGTATGGCATGTGGTGCAGAGAATGAGTCAGACTGCCCACCAGCTGTGAGCCTGGCCTACCAGTGGGGAGGAGTAAAGATATTTTATGCAGGGCTGGCAACGGTGGACAGCATTGGTGTGGGTGATTTACAGGGTTATTAGGATGGAGGCCAGCAGCTAGCAACAAAAATGGACTTGACGAATAACCTGCAGAGAAGTATTCAGGTGACTGTAATTTGCCCCCAGACGAACGCCTGCATAAGGTCCAGTGCTGCAAATCAACATCAATGAAACGAGTGATTGTGGAAATGAGTTCTCCACCAGAGTTATATTCCTGGAAACAAGGCTTTGAAAATTGAAAAAATTATTTAGACCACCTTGTGGGAACACTAAATTTACAGACAATATAACTTGTGATATGACAAAAAAAAAAAAAAAAAAAAAAGTTTGAGGAACTCATGGACTCATGACCTCAGTAATTTCAAAATGCTGGGCCAAGAGTTGTGAACCAAATCTGAGAATAAATATCTTGGATATGTGCATATAATTACTGCCTAATCTGAAGCTCTAGTAAAGCAGGCTACTAATGGTTTGCAAAGCCTGGCTCGCCTTCCATGACACCGACTACTAATTCATGTGTTTCCTCCTTCTTTCAGGCACATGCACCACTCCCCCCCCCCGCTTGCCACCAGATCTGAAAGCCAATTATCCAATTAGCGGCGTTAGAGAAGGGGTCGTCCCTGCCACGTCAATTTCCCACTTAGCCAGGAACACGTGAATTAGTTTCTCTACTTAGACACATGTAAACGGGCCATTCGTGTCCTCACAGAAACACTGTGTGTGAAAAAAGAGAAACTAT